CCAAAACCTTGCCAGCTGATTGTTGTGTCTTCGGGCGCTTCGGACGGCTTTCACCAGACAATAACCACTCCGCTGACTGCCGATTGGACTCCGGTGTGTAGTGATGGATCCATGTTTCATCCATTGTGACAAATCGACGCAAAAACTCCTTCTTATTGCGGTTAAACAGGGCCAGATTTTGCTTTGAAAGTCGAACACGTTCCGCTTTTTGCTCAATTGTCAAAAAACGCGGCACCCAACGCGCGCAAAGCTTTTTCATGTGTAAATATTCATGAATGATATGACCAACGCGTTCCTTTGAGACTCCTATGTTAGCTAGTTCACTCAATTTCATTTTGCGGTCATTCAACACGATTTCACTGATTTTCTGGATGTTTTCTGGAGTAACTGCCTCATTTGGCCTTCCTGAACGTGGTGCATCATTTGTGCTCGTACGGTTACGACGAAACTCAGCAAACCAATATTTGATGGTTGAATTCGGTGGAGCAGATGTGCCGTAACATTTATCAAGCTATGCCTTTGCTTCAACAGTGTTTTTCCCATCAGGAAGCAATGTTTAATCAAAACACGAAATTCACTTTTTTCCATAGTAAAGATAAATTCAGAGGTAACGTCACTTCGAAAGCTATAACTTGTACACGAGTCAACGAAATATCATGATATTTTTACAGCATCTAAGTTAAGGTTGGTACTCTATAGGAAATATAAGGATTTTTAGTTTGTGGCGCCATTTATATGTCAGGCCAAAGACTCTTCAGCCCATGTAGTAGACCTATCGATCCCATCTTGCGCGCGACGGGCTGAAGTCCTGCTGCAAAGTATGCGGTACGCAGCGACTCGTGCTGATCTCATCGCGTCATAATGCGCTCCTCACGTTGGAGTGTCCATGGAAATCTCGGTGTATCGCCGAGTGATAACTTGCCTGACGAGAATGCCGATCGGTTGCGGTGATCAGCGCTTTGTCTGTCATTCTTATCGGCAAAATGTGTGAGCAGGAGCGCGGACGTTTATTTTTACGCTTAAGTGCGCCGGAAATATATAAACATATATATAAATATACAAACATGTCGTTGAAATTCGCAGAGATAGCATTTCCATCGAATATTTATCAGCGGAATAACGGCTGCAAGTTTCCTTTCGTCACGTTATAAAACATGCACGACACTCACGAAAACCGCTGCGTACCTCGCTGCACCGTCTCTGAAGTTAAAACACGCGGTGATGAATAATCCCAAGAAAATCCCCCCGTCCTTCTCCATGGGGAGATCCAGAAGCGCATGTTTTCATGTATCGGTCGCTTCCAAAAGGAAACCATCGTGTATCTTTGATATCGGAACGGTCGTAATTATGGAAATCCCGTCTATTTTCGGCGCTCGTGACACTCGTCAGCGCGTTAAATATCGTTTATCGGTTTTATTATCGGGAATTATGCGACGCCGAGTCACTCGTGTCTTTTCGTGTCTGGCTTCGTCACTCGTGCGCCACTCGTCGATATATTCGCGAATTTAGCCGCGATGGTGTCACGGAATGCCGTTCAAATACACATAATGAAATGCGTTCCGCTTTCTTCGCGTTCCACCATTTCCGCGACGACGAATCTCCGGCTGTCAGCGTTTGCCGAATAGAGCGATTAACCGAATAGATCCGAGTATATTAACCGGAGACGAGACTGCACCGGCTTTTCAGCGACGAATTCAGGTTGAAGACAGCGGGACGATTGCTCGTCGCCGCTCTCTGAGAGCGAGTGAGAATCCGCGATTCCGGGGCGAAGTAAAGATAAAATCATCGATCGCGCGGTCCGCGCATTAACTTCCGGTATCGGATACGCACGTCGAAAGCACTCGTTCGCGCGTTGTTGTTTCGTAACAGGAGTCATTAGCATCCGCCCGCGTTAATTAGCGGAAGTTCTGCCGTACGTATATAGGCTCGATGCAGCGGCCGAGCGAGGTGGCGGGGGGGCGGCGGTGGTACGTGATAATGCGCGATATATACACGTAGGCAGTCTCTCCGCCGTGCTTTTTCCCACTTCTCGACGCGTATCGGCGCGTAACGGCGAATTATCCACGGGCTTTTAGCCGCGGTTCCACCGTAGTTCTAGCGTGAAATCGACACGCCCACGACCGAGGCGAGATTTGTCGTCGACGGGGTGAAGACATTGTGAATATACGAGCGTAGGGCGGCTCGCGCGTCCATCGCAACGTCCGCCCTCGTGTGTCGCGTCGCGCGATTGTATTTAAAAATGAAATATTGAACGCGTTTTGAGACACACGCAAAAAGTCGCATCTTGCGGTTAGCAGCTCGATGAGCGGATAGCACCGACAGGACGTGCGAAATGTCCGAAGAGAGAGAGAGAGAGAGAGAGAGAGAGAGAGAGAGAGAGATGAATGTCCAAAAAATATCTTTCCGTTCTGACGTTCCGACCGCGACGCTCCAGACATTTACTTGTTGTCTGGACACCGCGCGAATGTCAACGGTGGAAATAACGCACGAAGTTGCCCATCCATTTAACAAAAGAAAAGAACAAAAGGGAAACGGACTATCACATGTATAGCTGCGAGCACGCGGAAAACCATAGCGATCGACCGAGTGACACGCGTATGTCGCGATCGTCGCGAAAGAGAGATGCTCTAAAGGATACGAGAAATGGAGAATGGCGACGCTAATATGCAGTAGTGATTGGCAAACATGAGCGCTATTTAGATTCTAACTGGCATAAGTGACGGTAGTTAACGATTAAACATTAACGGCAGCGGGATTCGCGATATTGTCGCCGCTCGCGCGCGCGCGCGCGATTGAGTGTAAATTACATAATTTTTATATAATCGTACCTCTCCGCGAATAGGCAGCTGGCCGAGCATCTCGAATGCGACCCCAACAAGCTCGCCGTGAGATTCCGTTTCGTTCAATCTCGTCGCATTTGCACGCGACGAGAGAGAGAGAGAGAGAGAGAGAGAGAGAGAGAGAGAGAGAGAGATAGGGCGAGAAAACTCGCCGTCACCTCGTCGCGGTGAGAGAGACGCGAGTCCGCGCGCGAAAGCGCGAGAGCGCGGGGACCGGTACAGTCAGCTTTTGTCAGGGCGCAGCGAATTTTATGGAGATGGAGGAGAACTGTATTCGATTCTACGCCACTGACTGATATATAGACGCTGATTCGGTCCCAATGCACTTAACACCACCCAGCTCTAATGCCATTCTCTCGTCACGAGCGTCCATCCTTGAGAGTCAAGAGACCCGCCAGCTGTTACGAGCCGCCGACAAATATCACGGGACGATAAACGTTAACTTAGCCAAAAATGACGTCACCGTCTTAGATTGAACGTTGATGTATTAACAATGTGATTACGCGCCAGGGACGATTGAGGGACACGCGGCGGGCTGGATCTTGGGAGATGCTCTCGCGTTCGTGACCCGATGAATTCTCGTCAGCTTGTCCGCGTCTCGCGCGGCGATCGGCAAAAGCGAGAGCAATTAATAACAATCGACGATAACAGACGGATACCTCGTCGACGAGGTGTCGAGGCTCCGGACGGACGAGCCAGAGGATCGAAGTTCGTCCCGCAGCCTCTCCGGACGCTGTCCTTTCTCATGTGTGACACGAAATCGTCTCCGTCGTAAGAGTGCAGCGATTGCCTCACGCTCAGGCGATACCTGAGGTGTACGTTGGAGCGTATAAATCCCATATATCCAATTAGATTCGTATAATCCCCGTATGTTAACGGAGGGTGTTTCTACCCCTCGGGCCGCAACCCCTCTCGGTCTCCGGCGGTGGCTCCTCTTCTCCATGCGTGTCTCGCCGCCGCACGTGTGTGGTCGTACGTACGGCTGCGCTCTGGCGCAAGCGCGCATCCCGCTCTAATACTAAAGTACTAATTTATGGACACACATGAGATGGCTATAGTATGCGCTACCGCGCCAGAAAAGGGACTATAGTCTGCGGAGGACAACAGAAGCGGATGAGGGGGTGGTAGTGGCGATAGTGCCGCCGCCGCCGCCGCCGCCGCCGTCGCCGCCGCTGCTGCTGCTGCTGCTGCTGCTGCTGCTGCTGTTGTTGCTGTTGCTGTTGCTGTTGCTGTTGCTGTTGCTGTTGCTGTTGCTGTTGCTGTTGCTGTTGCTGTTGCTGTTGCTGTTGCTGTTGCTGTTGCTGTTGCTGTTGCTGTTGCTGTTGCTGTTGCTGTTGCTGTTGCTGTTGCTGTTGCTGTTGCTGGTGACGGTGGCGGCGGTGGTGGCGGTGGCGGCGGTGGCGGCGGTGGCAGCGGTGGCAGCAGCGGCGGCAGCGGCGGCGGCAGCGGCGGCGGCGGCGGCGGCGGCGGCGGCGACGGCCGTGGCGGCGGCGACGGTGGTGGTAGTGGTGGCGGTGACGGTGGTGGTGGTGGTGGTGGCGGTGGTGGTGGTAGTGGTGGTGGTTGTGGTGGTGGTAGTGGTGGAGGTGGTGAGATAGGGCGAGGGTATATCGGAGAACACAGAGGCGGGCTTTGCATGCGATATCAATAAATCAAGTCCCCGGGACCCCGGCAGCTTAGGGGGCCACTACGTGGCCAGAATCAACAGCTCATAACGTCGGCTAATAGCTACCCGCGGTGGGGTCGAAGATATTGTCGTAACACCGAGGGACATCTTACCGTCGCAATGGTTGGATTTGGTTGCGCCCTATCTAGAACAAAAAATGTTATCGCGCGGCCGGAGCACGGCGGGAAGGAGTGAGATCGTTGCGAGCGAAAGGCGCGATTCTCGATTGCATAGGATCTCCGAACGGGGACGCCTCGGCGCGGCGGCGAATTAGTGCTCGGAGGTCGATGCGACTTTGTTCCTCTCGTTCGTCGAGATCGAGCAGCGACTGGGCCCGTTGAGGAATCATTAGAACCGACCGACCGGTGCGATTCTCTGCGTGACGAGAGGCGAACATTTCAGTTCGCGCGGGGGTTTATGCGTGTTTGTAGAGATCTTCTTCTTCTTCTTTTGTTATATGACGACGACGACTGATCTCTTGCCCCGTGCCGTAGGTATGGTTTCAAAATCGCCGGGCGAAATGGAAGAAGCGCAAGAAGACGACGAACGTGTTCCGGTCCTCCGGATCGTTGCTACCGTCGCACGGCTTGCCTCCTTTCGGAGCGATGAGCTCGGATTTGTGTGGCGCTGGAATGTTTCACACTCCTGCGGACAGATGGGGAATGGGAACAGGTCAGATATTAATAGGTTTTATTAATAACTAACGGTACAAGTAGTGCGAGATGAAAAAAAAGATGTACATGTCCGCTTACGTTGATCGGGACAGGAAACGTTCTTTCAGTCGCCTTGTATTATTCGTCGCGTAAATATCCGTTATATTCGTCGCGGTGAAACATTAAAAATGAGACTTGCGTCGCGAGGTCCATCGGAAATCTCCAAGCAACCCCCAGTCCGATATTTATTTCCGTAGCGGTTATTAATTTCACGAGTCATTTCGAATTCAACCATACGGATAAAAAAGAAGCGAAGAAATGCCAACGAGATTTTTTTCTAGCACGTAGAATATCAAACGCGAAATACGAAACGCGCTTCTCTCGCAGGGTTGTTGCACGTTTCTGCCTGAAACAACCTAACTCTCCCGCCGGTGTGAAAAGTTTAAACAACTAAATAATTATACCGTGCGCTTCAATTAATCAACTTCAATCAATCGTATCTCTTTCTATGCAATTTATGACTCTTAATCTTGCGTAATATAGTACGATCGCGATTCTCGATGCGCCGAAAAACTCCACCGCGTCCGCAGCGATGGCGGCTGTAACGGCGACGCGAGGAGGTCCACAGCGCTCGCACAGCGGATATCGTCGAAAAGTGCGATTTAATCGAGACACATCATGCAAACGTCGCGTTCATGCAAATCGCACTCGCGATTCGCCGTGTGTACGATACTATTAGCGTCCTGTACGCACGTTAACTGCCGGGAGAAGAAGCAACACGCCAGAAGGTAACAGCGATTCTCGTAGACGAAGTCGCGACGATGCTTGCCTCTTAATTTAATTTCGCCCGTCCATTGGCTCTGAGACAGCTGAAATTACTTACGCGTATTAACGGTCCCACGGTTATTCACCGGCAACGTCGTCGACGACGACGACAACGGCGACAACGACGACACCGATAACCAATCCTACCTGTTTCTTTGCGTCCTTCGCGTGCGCGCGCGCGCGCGCTTAACCTCGCACTTATATTAATTGTCCTTCGCGCATTCATCATCGACACTCCACCGATCTTCGCAGGTCTCGGCCAGCTGCAGGGCGGCATGACAATGAGCAGTTTTGGGCAACTCGGTCAACAAAGCACGGGAAGCCTGGGCTCGAGCCTGAACCTTGGCAATTCCGGACTCCCCATCAACAGCCCGTCGCAATCCGTCTACCACACCAGTTACGGACTCAACTCTATCGGTGAGTTATGGCGAACTTTCGCAAGAAGTCATGGCCTACAACTGGAATAGTGATTCTGTCGCAGGCAGATCGACGGATAACATTATCGCCCGATGCTCTCCGATCTAATCGAATTAACCGAAAGAGTTGATGCAGGTTCAAACCGAGCGCCATGAATTAAGAAGCAAGCGAGACGAGTGTGTCTTTAGATTGATTATTATCGATGATATCAATTCTTTATTTCATTGTTTCATTGTTCACGGGATTGTTTATCTCCTTGGCACGAGCCTCGACTATAGTCAACGGTCGCTCAGCGCTTATTTTTCTCTACTTTGTTATTAATAAAAGTGACTTACGTTTCGAAATAATCCCTTATTTCTTGCCGTAGCAACATTTGCACTTTTTTTACATTTCAATACACTTCACAATTCACAACACTTCGTCGGAAGACGCAACAGACAGAAATGCTCCGTTTCTTGCGGATTGTTATCTATTCGTCATTGATCATTCTACTTTTCGAGTTTATGCTAGCAAGTCAATACAGCTGATGTTGAACTTGGCAGATATATCCAAGTTGGGTAAAGAGAGAAATATCACCTTGACAATTAAACTCCATTAATAAAAAGCGAGAGGAAGAGATGAGGAAAGGTGTATATACCAGGCATCTCGCGATCGTCGCTTTCGGTCGCCGGTCATTGGCCGAGTATCTGCCGCACCGAGATGATCAAGGCACGATTTTGCAATACGTACATAGATTTTCCAGAGTGCCCGGACGTTAGAAACATAGTCGCACAGCCTAACCTCGCCGCTCCGGCGAGACGACTCGGAGCGAACGTAACGCCTCGCCTCGTATTTCTCGGCGCTTATTCAAGTAGCACAAGCTGTTGCCGGGCTGGCGGCATGTGCGAACGCGAGTAGACACACCCAGAGACGACGTCTCGACGATGTTCGTGCCGTTTATACGCCGCCTGGCCGCTTATACGCGCGCCGATAATCGTCTTGCCAAACTTTTGGACCGTGGCCCTCTAAAAGACGGCGCGCAAACAGCGCGCCGTGGAAGTCTCTTTGACGAAGTCGTTAAACGTTACGGTGCATTAAGGTCCGAAGGGGTTATGCGCTTGCACGTAAGGAATTTGAGACAGAAACATAAACCCCATCCTCCCGTCTGTTTACGCAGGCAAACTCCGAGCCTGGTCTCGCACCTAGGTGCGAGATCTTTCGCTGTATATTTACCATAACATCTCGATGCAACCTGTCTTGGTTGAGTTACGCTCTGCCTCACCTTACCCGGGGACCTTGTACCCTCAAAGGTGCTTCGGGGGATAAATCGCGTGTGAAATTCCTCCTCTCACCGAATCGCTATCGAGTAAGGCTGCCGGCGCGGCTGCAATTTCTACACCGAGACGTGCGAAAGCGAGATTTTCACTTCAATACAGAAACGTCACGCTTCAGCGCGGGAATATCGACTTTCTTCTCTTCGCCTTTTCTTCGTCTTTCTCTCTTTCTTTTTTCTTTCTTCTCTCTCGCTTTTTTATTCTGTTCGCGAGGTCCATCGAAATTCTACGACGTGAGTCGGATAAGTCGTCGCGATTTTCGGGCTACGTCGAGTCGTCGAGTCGTCAAGTGTACTCACGGGATGACACGTGACGTGTCGCTCGTTACACATTGGACGCTCAGGAAACTTACGTAATACTAAATTGCGAATGAGAGTTTCTGCGGGTTTTCGCAATTTTCCACGCTGTGCGGAGTCTAAGGTGCAGCGGGATGGACCGCGACGTTCGTGAAATTTGAAAAATAAAAGTTCGCGAGACACGAGTAATGAGAAAACCGATAATAGAAAAAAAAGGAATCTCGCTGTCTTCTCCGGTGAAGTAATTTTTCCATTTAAGCATATTCCTCGGCGACTAACAAATCGCATGTACTTCAAGGGAAATGTTACGATACTGCGCATCGTTTTTCTTTTTAAAGCGCATATGGTGCACTCGAATAGGACGACTCGTATCGTTATGGGCACGCTGCGACGTTCGTCAAGCCCGCTGGGCTCGTCAACCCGAAGACGAATCTATCGAAGCATTACAAATTTTGTTGGCGAGCTCATCAGATTCTCTCTCACTGAGCGCGAGTTGTGTGTGCGAGAGGACAGTCGAGCAATATTGCAAACGCTCCTCCTAAGTTTCCTCACGATAATCGCGTTACCGTAAAGTGGAATTCCCTCTCACGCATGAGAACTGTATCGAACTTATTAATTTCTCATTGGCATATTTGGCACAAAATTACAAAAACGTGTAACGATGTAATTCTACGCTTTTCTCTGCGACAATAAAATGTTTCTGAAGGAAACTCGGAAAAATCAGCCTCTCCGTGATTTCACAAGTTGGCTGCGAGGTACATCTAGATCATGTGTGTGTGTGTGTGTGTGTTTCTATGTATATAGCCGCACGTAACGCTTATACAGTGCCAATTACTGAGCATTATCGTCGAGCAGCGTCACTCGAGAGAAAAAAAATCAGCATCCCACGAGCGGTGTATATATGTGTGCGTGTGTGTTTGTGTGTGTGTGTGTGCGCGAGCGCGAATGCGGTTTTAAGGTGAACACGTCTCTAGCTCGTAGCCCGTAGCCGGCTACTCGCCTTTATTCGTGGATAATACACAGAGCAAATAGCTTTTAGAGCAGAGCGTTATTTTTCGGTTACCGATGATGATTAGCACTGCAATGTAACCCGACGACACGAAGCCGAAGCGGCAGCTAGTCGATCGAGGAGTTCCATTTGGTGTCTCTGTTACAACGGCCACTGCTAGTCGACCGGCGCAAACAAGCCTCTATAACGTGTAAATTAACGCTTCTCAAAACGCCCAATTTTCGACGCACTCCAACGCTGACGCGGCGGCGTGAAAGTCGCGTATCTCGGCTACGACTGTTAAAACCAACGTGATTTCTGCAAGTTGCGGTTTTTAACGCTCGCCAGATGCGCGGAAATCACAAACTCTATATTTGTTTCCAACGCATTTTGAAACAGGAATCGCGTATTCATTCGCGCATTCACACACGTATACAAGTATGTTCGGCTTTTACGTTTACTTTTAAACTTTCACGTAGAACTTCGTCGATCTTGCGTAAGCGCGATAAATTGCGAATACTCTCTTCAGCGGGCACCATTGGGAGAGTTTCGGTTCGGAAAAAGAGAGAGAGAGAGAGAGAGAGAGAGAGAGAGAGAGAAAGAGAGAAGGGGTGGGGGGGGAGACTAAGAGTCGTAAAATCACGTACATCGCCGCCATTAGATATCCGTTCCTTCGTACGGCTTTTGAAAAGCGGCGGCCGGTCATAGTCCTCCGCAAACTTGTGTTCGGCGCAGCAACGTCGTAAAATGGTCCCTTTTCCCCGTTGTCTTTTGAGCCCACCAGCGTGAAGAGCGCGAGGAGGCGGAAACGACTTTACGACACCGGTAGCATACGTACCCCAACGGCTCTTTGTCAGCCTACCGTATTAATATCTCCTGCGGAGGAACGAAGTAACGTTCGCTCGCTCGCTCCTGCACCTGCAATATCGCACCTGTAAATTGCTTCTCTCCTCTACCTGAGCTGCCCCGGGGGTGAGAGCGAGTCTAACTCGTCCACGCACTGATGGAGAGCACTCGTGGACGAGACTCCATCACTGTAAATATTTATCCTTTATCATTCGCCGTATTCATACAAGCAAATATATTTTCCACTTGGCACTCTACGATCGCGCAACTTTCTTCCGAGAAAAGTCCAGTCGTGAATTCACAAAACAATCTAGTCGTTATCGTTCGGTAGTCGTTCGGGAGGTCGTTCAACCGGCGGCTCATCGGTAGGCTCGTACCAACATGATCAAGCTGTCCTGCGGAGAGACGCATTAAATCGTCACTTTCCTCGACTTTTCAGGTGGCGTTCACGTGTCGGCATCTCGGGGCTCGCCACCGGGTAGCTCCTCGGTGGGTGGCGGTCAGGGCGGCGGGATGGGTTCGAGCCTCAACTGCGGTCAAGGTTCGCCAGGTACGCCTTCCGGCAGCGGAGGAGGCGGCGGCGGAGGCGGTGGCGGCGGCGGCGGCGGCGGCGGCGGTGTCTCCTGTGTCGGTGCCGACGTGAGCGCGAACGAAGCGTCGGACTGGAGAGGCGCCCACAGCATCGCGGCGCTTAGACGCCGCGCCTCGGACGCGTCGCAGCAGTACAGTCCACAGCCGCCACCACCCCCAGGACCACCTCAGTACACTCACGACATGGAGTACAGTTCCGTTTACTGAGGCGTCAGCCCAAACGTCCTAACGTTCAGTTCCACGGAAGAGAAAAAAATGAGAAACTACCGATCGATAGGAGCTTGTGGTAATCCCATGGAACGAGTACTCCTCTCTCTCTCTCTCTCTCTCTCTCTCTCTCTCTCTCTCTCTCTCTCTCTCTCTCTCTCTCTCTCTCTCTCTCTCTCTCTCTCCCCCCTCTCTCTCCCCCTCTCCCCCTCTCTCTCCCCCCTCTCCCCCCTCTCTCTCTCTCTCTCTCTATTTTTATCTATCTATCTATCTATCTCTTCATTTTCTATCCGTCTCTTTGTCCTATGAAAACATCACGAAATGATGATACTCTCGTGACTGATTCTGCGGAGGAACCAAGGGGCGACGAAAGCGCAATTAGGGAAGCTAATCTAGCTGGTCCATCGTGAGTTTAATCGTGAAGATAGTGCGGCGAGGTCAAGATCGACGGAATATCGTAATGATCATTTTGCATGATGCGGAGGTCCGAAACCGCTCTATGTTTTAGATTGAACGCTGAAACAAAGCCGGAATTGAAATGGTTATATAATTCCGGGTGGTTGTATGTATGTGTATATGTGTACGTGTGAGCGTATGAGTGTTACAACCGGCAGAGATTCACGGCTAGTCGACAAGAATACATAATAGCTCAACGATTGCGAGAGCTCGACGTGACGCCTGAATTTTTATATTCCCGAGGTAACGCGAGCTCGTCGTGACGTGTAGAGTTCCGTCAGAAGAAACAGGTACTAGAGTAACGCGAAGAAATCTCTATGAAAGGAGTACTCTTCTATGAGTGAATTGCAAGGTTGAAGTCAGGGTAGAGGATCGAGAAATTGCTGGCAGCATCGACAGCGACGATTCGCATACAATATAGATTCTCGTCACAATCCTTCCCGGGAACTGTCGTCGTAGCATGCGTATCTCTCATATAGACTACAGTTTCTGCGAGTGTGTCTTATCGATGCTAATATATTGGATTAATTACCGACTCGATATTATTAAATGGAACGAGGACAGTGGTTGACGCGAACGATAGAGTTGTCGTAACGTCCGAAATCGAAATTTCCTAATTGATCACGTAACGAACGTAAAAATTCACCTGACATGTAATATAATCTAGTCAAGTACTCCTTGAAATCTCAACAATCGGGAACGTTAGTCAATTATTTCGTAGGGAAAGAACTAGATCGTTCGCGTGGGACTTTTAATCGGCATATCATCGATATCCTTGACGTTTCCCTCTCTCCATTCAGATGATAGAAGGTTCATAGAAAGTTAAACAGAGAAACGGTTCCCTTTTCTCTCGGATCGAATCGTTACGGCGAAGCCGTATTAACGAAAAGTTATTCAATTGGACGTATAAGCGCAAATCCCGCTCAAATATATTCAAAAATTGATCCTCATCGCGACAGCTTCAATAACGCTGCTCGACAATGGCGATGGCCGATCTCTTCTCCGTACGATCGGCTTCAATATGATATCAAGCGCGCTCTCTTGGACACCATAAGTCCATTGCAGTTATCGCGAGTCCGAGTGTTAATGACTGAATTATGACTTTCATCGCGATCGAAAATGTACCTTTTCCGGTAAAAGATCGAACACGCTGTTTTAATAATCGCGCTGTTGAGCTGTCGATGACGGGAAAAGGGTAATATTTCACGACCTGTGCATATATTTGTGATTCTCGTGATATGAGGAGTATCGCGGTACGTCCTGAAGAGAGGAAAGATCGTTGTAAACAAGTACGACCAGCTTCGCGAACGGACTTTCTTTGGGTTGGCGCTGTGCGCTGGTCAAAAAGAAAAAAAAAGAAAGAGAAATATCAAGGTGGTTATTTCATATATGCGTGTATTGATATGATCACCGTGTGCCCGTCGAACGATTTGGTCAACTCCACGTGCTCATGTACACGTGTGTCGATTTATTTTCCTCCGAATGACCAACGAATCCCGATACTCGTACACGAGCGACGCGATTCGTCGCGGCTGGAACACAGTCGTTAAACTCCACTCGTTTCGCCCTCGTTAGAGGCGTCTCGAGCGTCTACGCCGGCGCTAAAGAAACGTCGATGAGATTAAGGCCTCGCTAATTGTAAATTATTTAACCACATTCCGAGGAGTGACTATGTGACAAACTGATTAGGGCGTGGGTTTCCGCCACGTGATCTTCATTTGCACATGTTTCCTCTCAGGCGAGCGCCGCTCGTACGACATTATCGAACGCGGCGAAAATACACGTCGCGCCCTGAGCCGTGCCGAGATCAAAGCGGAAGTCGCGGCGAGGTGCAACGAGATGTATACGACAAGTTATCTTAGTATTATACATATATATATATATATATATATAATATATGTACATATGTGTGTGTGTGTGTACATATACACACACGCATATATATACACACACATATATATATACACACACGGCATTGTAAATATAGTAAAAATATTGACGTGATAGGATACTATTATGGATTATTATTGCAATTACCATTGCTGTCGAATCGCGTAAGCGCGACGGAGCTGTCGGCTGCTCTCGTTCACAGGCTGTTCAGCTTGCAATTCGCATCGCAAATAGTGTTTAACGAGGCTGTACGCGCAAGTAGTCGTTTGCTTCAAAACGATATTTTTTTACGGATATTTTTTGACGTTTGTTATGATTTCCATCGAATAACGGCGTCTTGAGTTTTGCGCGGGTACAGAGTTCCCGAGAGTCCTCGCCTCACGGCGGCAGAATCCTTACATTGTGTATTCGTCGACTGGTTGGAACAACCAGAGGCTTTCGTCACTTTCGGAAGTATAGCTCCTTACCTCATGTTTGTAGGCGTATTTGCGTGTGTGCGTGCGTGCGTGCGTGCGTGCGTGTATATGTGCGTGTGTATGTGTGTCTGACAAGAGATTAGAATTACTTTCTGAATTTCTGTGCAGGGCAAACGTTAATTTCCTTACAATATGTACCGTCAATTAGAGAAAAAATTCCTGTAAAAAAAAAAACGTCGAAAACTTGGGACTTTGCAAAGTTGTGCGCAACTGAAAAGAAATTGTCGTTCCTACTTCTCTTCCAACGTTGAATACAATCCCGAAGCAACGATCGCTCAAAGATTCTGTCGCCGAACGAGGGGAACTATATGTTAATACGCGCAAAGAAAAAAAAGAAAGAAGAAAAAAATAAGAAAGGAAACCTAGTCTTTCTCGTCTTGACTTTGCGTTACAACGCAAGCGTGGTTACGTGAAATCTCGCTTGGGTAGAGATACGCGGCGCACTTTATTAACTTATTGTACGATAATTTCCCTTTCGCAGTCTACACGGAGGAAGTTTCAGCTTTCCTCGACGAATCCGAGATAAATAGAGCGGCGTCGTTCGTCGCGTAACGAGATGCGTAATTTGGATTTTCTCGGAGATGGGTGTTTCTCTTCTCACGGTGATGAGAAGGCACGCGATTTAACGTAAATTCACGTCACCATCCCGTACACTATAAGTATACACACATTGTTCCGTTGTTGTCATCGAAACGTAAGGCTCTGTAAATAAAACATACGTCTAATAATAATAATAATAATAATAATAATAATAATAATAATAATAATAATAATAATAATAACAATAACAATAATAATTACAATAATAATGATAGTAATAATGATAATTATTACAACTATAATAATAACGACAACGATAACAATAATACTAATATTAATATTAATAATAGTAATATTAATAATAATAAAGTATAATGAGTATGATGACATCAACATTACGATCGAATGCGAGTATACATGGACATTGTGATATATTTTGGGTCGGCCGTCCATTTTTTCGACGGCGACGTCGGCCCGCACACGAGATATTCCGAGCGGTACCGGTGGTAGATTTGCGAGCGACCGCGAAGAGTCGACTATTCTAGTTACGAATTTACGGTAGACCTAGGTGAACCTAACGATAAATATGGAATAACAGATAGGCAATTGTCAGTGTATTACTACGAATGTATACGATTTTTAATGTACAAAAAAACGCGGTGGCGCGCGTCGCGGTGGCGCCGCCCCTCACGATTTCGTCCTGTCGTCCTGGGGCGGAAGACCTTATGATGTTCATCGGAGTGTTTGTGGTTCCTTATTTTCGAATGCTTCGTGCAATACCTCGTTGTTGAGTCTGCGTTCTTTTTAGCGCGCAAAGAGAGAGAGCTACTGTACTCGGTGAGAGAGTTTCGTCCCGTTGCTGCGCGAGTAAATTGGCGTGTTTGTGGTAAGCTAGACGGAGATTCCCGCATCAGGATTAATCGCGTCGACTAGTCGAAAACTAATTCTTTGCTCCAGAATTCTGACGTTCAACGTTTGGTTATTCTTGCGTGGATATTTCTGAGGAATAAAGCGGAAATGTGTGAGATCGGATGGAAATTTACGTTTTGTCAACAATTTTTAACACACAGCACACACATACGCACACATATGAGGGCTGATGTAATCGACCATTGATTTCCGAAATGACATTTAATAAATTTCGAAGTTAAATGTCAGGGATGCAAAGTATATAATTAAGCATTTAGACTTTATGAATCAAGAATGTGATGAATATTTCATATTGCCTCCGATCTCTCTCTCTCTCTCTCTCTCTCTCTCTCTCTCTCTCTCTCTCTCTCTCTCTCTCTTTCTTCCCCTCATACACACACACACACACACACACACACACACACACACACACACACACACACTAATGATACGCCAATTTATGCCCGCGCAGCCAACTTGTCTCGTTTCGCTTTGTTCTCAGATCGGATTCAGATGGTGAATTCTGAGAGCTCTGATTGGTGTCCTTGATGATTATATAATACCTCCCATTTTAAGCGAGAAACACAATTTCTGTATTTATTTTATTTATCATATGTGTATAGATAAATCTTCCAGTGAGCAGGGAGAAGTTCGCGTGCCCTCTTTCTTTTTTTGATTTGCGACGAGTGCGGGCATCGCTCCATACAGGTGATTTGTAACATACCACGAGCTCTGCTAATTGTACGTTTAATCGTTTTTGCGTCGATGTTAATTCGGTCGAATCGTACAGTCACGCAGAGGTCACCCGATTCTTCAGATTCGCGCGAATCGGGAGAGAATCGACTGACTTTATCGCATCTTTATCACAAATCATTATCGTCAATGACCTTGATTAGCGGTAAAATAGGCAGAATTTTAATTTTCATCGTTGTATAGTTGTGTATAGGGGTCAACTAAGTGTGTAAAATAAATCATTACCAAAATATCGGCCGATTTTTCCCTCGTTCTCCGTGCATCTCCCTTTCCTACCCCCGATTATTTCCCGTTTTCACCCGAAATGTTTCTAAGCGAGTCCCGGTATTGTTTAATAATCGGAATAATATACGTACAGTAGGATAGTACAAACACTCAATTTTTATTTGAAAATATACATTTTCATATTTATGTAGATACATAGATTTTATATATATATATATATATACGCCTCCTTACATTGTACAGAGAGAATGTATTGTTTCATTGTGTGTTACAATGGGTTACAAAGCTATTAAAAATTAACATTATATCTATGCGATATATCGATTTAACTTACAAAGCGGAAGTAGGATTGAGCGTGTAATTTATTCACGGGCTTGTAGAATATGCTACGACGGAGATATAAAGATAACGATTGTATTAAATTAACACGAGCGCTCTATCGACAGAGTTACAAATGAATTCGACTTTTGCGGTAACGACGTATGTATACATGCAGTCTTTCTCGCGGATGAATTCAATAGTTCAAGTATCAGTGACATACATCGCATGTAGACGTTAGAGAGATATACATATATATGCCAGATAAATTTAGGTGAAAAATAGTTTTTTCGGGATAAGGTCCTACGTTCGAGCAATCGTGTCCCTTCAGATTTTCTGTCAGTGTCCATTCCGTAATGATATGTTGACGCAACATATTACATGTAAGTAATATAATGCAAAACAGGAAATAATTGATCGAATGAAGTGCGACTCAATGAGGGTGTGCCGCAACGTGCGCGAAGACATTGTTCGTGTAATATTATCGTGTTGTATTATCCCTTATCGGTGTGATAGGAGCAGCCTTTGTTTGAGAGAAGGGCGAATGCGAAGAATATCCTTAATCGAGCTTTAACTTGAAAGCTTTGCGCGTGACGTACGTATGTACGCTGCAAACTATGTGCAACTGGAAACATTCGCGGCATATTGTCATCAAGCAAGTTATTTACATGAACTTCCGTAAATACGACTACGGATTGGGACAAATGCGTTCATCGAACTTGTTTCCTCGCCTGGAAGTAATCGATGAGTCCGCTGCTTTTTATAGCTGCGCTTATTTATATGTTCACGTGTTCAATCGATTAAATCTAATTTTCTGTAGATGTTCTGTTTTGTAGATGTTCTCTCTTCTAATTAAAAACGTTTCGTACTTTTGTTAAAATGTTTTATGTGTAGAAAGTTTTGTGTTAAATTTTTTGTTACAGTCATGTGTTAATTTAACATATCGTTGTTGTGTTACTTAGACTTTCTTGTGTTAAATTAAGATTAACTATTTTCAAGTGTTAAAATAACATTTCCAAGTGTTAAAATAACACAATTTATATGTAAATGCATAAATTCTTGCTGTGACATATTTTATATGTTAAAGTCAACATCTGTAAAATGTGTTACTTTCCTCATTATAACAGTCATGTGTTAAGTTAAGATTAACTATTCTCAACTAACATTTTTGGTATATAAAGATTGGATTTTTAACACATAGATTATGTCAATCTAACATTTTCATTTCATCAAATCATAAATCATTACTTTTCCCAATTGTTCATTGTATGTCGATTTAACACAAACTATGATTATTGACAGCATTCAAATGTTAAATTTTTGTGTTAATTTTTTACATATTATGCATGTTATTTTTTAATATATTTGTTATATGTTAAATTAACACATAAATGAGAATGGATAATTTGAGACACATGAAATATGTAAAATTTAACATATTATTTCTTACAGTGTACTAATTTTGCTTAAATAAGTGATCACACATAAGTGATCGATAAATATCAGAGCGAATATATTTTTATATTTTTCTCTTTTCTATTTTTAAGGGTAAATGAAGATGAATGCTTGTACGAGGTATTACTAAAGAGATTTTAACCTAATTTTCTTCATTCCAGATAAGTCTCACTTTTACGCACGATGTCTCGTATAAGATTAGATTTTTATTAATTCAGGAAAACATTGCTCCAAAATGTAAATGCTCTCGTACTAACGATCGAGCGAAAAAATGTGCATGATTATTATAAAATGTATATACGGTCCAAGCTTTTAACATTACCATTTCAATCGACTTGTTGTCATCTAATTATTATTGTTATCTAAAAAGCGTTCTGATTTATTTCTTGTATTTCTCGACTTATCTGTTTATTTGATAAAGTACAAGGGATTATTGATTATGGATTATCAAACATTCAAAAAAACGAAAGGAGAGAGAAAAGAATTAAATTATTTATTAATTAGAATTAAATTATCTATGGAAAAATCCAATTATGTATATAAATAATATATATCTCTCTTATATATATATATATATATATATATATGTATATATATATATATATATAACAGTTACGAACATAAGGCTCAGTAAAACTACAACGAATGTGACTCTATTGCAATTTGATCAATGTATCTAATTTCGGTTTGCGGTTACGGCTTGATTTGCTTTTATACGGCATCTCTTCATCTATTTCTAGTATTTCTTCGCTAAAATCTTTCATGGTAAATGTTACACCAAGTGGTAATGTCAAACAACTCACCCTATACGTGCGTTCGTAAGTAAGCCGAAGCGCTGGAATGTTCGCGACTTATCGTCGGTCGCACTCGGCTATCGTCGGCGTTGGCGTCCAAACTTCAAATGAAAATACAATTCGCGCCCATTTCGCGATCATGTCGGACGTCGGCGAGCGTACGGGTGTAAATTTGTTGTTCGGTTCGGTAATACTGACGCGATATTTCGGTATTTGCGCTACATGTCTTAAATTACCTTCGCAAGGCTGTTCTCGGGACGCTCGTCCTCTGAGGTTTCCGGCTCTGTACTCAGCTTATTGAAATCCCGAGTATTTGGCCGCTTCTCCAAAAATTTGAAACTCCGACCACGACGATTTTCCAGCAGGCTAGATAGCTTGAAATTCTCCCGTCTCTCCGCTTCCCAACGCATCCTTTTCCGCATGGTGAGTAAACATCCTGTTCGAATCAAAATATAAGCATATATTTGCTCGGTCTCATACGCAGAAAGCGTCCAACCTCCACGATTCACCTCGCGTAACTGTTAAAATTCTTATACGATTCGTCATTTTGAATCATATGCGTAGCTAAATTCCTCAAATGCAAGTCAACGTCATGATTATTTAACTACATATTTTATGCTTTCTACAACAGTATTTTCTTAGCTGTATGATGTGTCAAAATTTCATTATATATTATGACATTAGATATATATATATATATATATATACACATATATACGGGATGGTTTAAAAGTCTGGAAATGGCTAATTATCTCTGAAAGTAGCGGTTCTGTAGGAAAATGTTTCAGGTAAAAAGTTGTAGGGTTTTAAGTAACGCATTAAATAGCAATATTATTATGACCTTGAAGAGGTCAGATAAAAATCATTTTGAATTTTTTAATTGGAAATCTTCATCTTTTATTACATACTCTTATAGTTTATCTCGAGATCTTTCCAAAACATTATATTTAAGTTATTTTTCATGAAGTACTTTCCCAATTATGAGGCTTGAATATTACAGTACCGCCGGCATTAGCATTACCCAACATGTACCGCGTGGAGGTTGCACAGTCGGATTTACACTTCTGTTGTGTATATTGTGTGTGCGTATGCATACGTGTTGTATATACCGATTGTTAAAATTTCACAAATCTTTTAAAAGAAATTAAGATTATTTAATACTTCGTATTATTACACGGAAATATAATTTTTGTGAGAATTTCCAACTACTGACAAAACGTTTAAGGAAAGAGGAGGTTTGTCACGATATGTAATGTAATTCATACAATCGGTACGCTAAGCTCAATTGGGATAACTCAGGATAACAGATAAGATGTTTTGCTATTAGCAGAGCTCACACTTCGCTGCTGCTTTCCCCACTTCAGGCTCCGGGCTAGGTTTCGATGGGGTCCCCCCCTCACACGTACGCATATACACATACACACAATACACACACAGAAGTGTAAATCCGACCGTGCAACCTTCACCTTGGATAATACTAATACCAGCGGTACTGTAACATTTAAGTCTTATAACTCGGAAAATACTTCATGAAAAATAACTTAAATATAATATTTTGGAAAGCTCTCGAAATAAGCTATAAGAGTATGTAATAAAAAATGAGGATTTCCAATTAAAAAATTCAAAGTGATTTTTATATGACCTTGACAATACTCTTGAAGGTCATGATAATATTGCTTTTGATAGAAGCATTGCTAGATAGAAGTAATGCGTTATTTAAAACCCTACAACTTTTGTCTGAAACATTTTCCTACAGGACCGCTATTTTCAGAGATAATTAGCCGTATCCGACTTTTAAACCATCCTGTATATATACAGGGTGGCCCACGTAAAGTGTTACAAGCCCATAACTTTAAAAATATTTATCAAATAAAAAAATTGTTCATAAGGAAGTTTCATGTATTCGAGAGGCCTCTTTAACTACATAAATATAAAGTCGTCCCAGCTTTCCCTTTAAAGGGGAACGGGGGTAACTTCATAATTTTAAATGGAACCCCCTATAAAATGTTGCATATTTGGATTCTACGGGAAAAAACAAGTAAATTTTATCTGAAACATTTGTTTGGAAAATGCTTCTATCAAAAGTTATAAGCATTTAAACCTTTAGCGATTTCATTCATGATTGAACTCCATTGACACAAAGTTGCGTTCGTGATACAACAAAAACGAAAAAAACCTTAGAGTACATACTTGATGTTAACCAAAAGAAACATAAATAAACACATTTATCGGAAAACGTAAATACAGATCATAGACGAATATGCAACATTTTATAGGGAGTTTCATTTAAAATTATGAAGTTACCCCCGTCCCCCTTTAAAGGGGAAGCGGGGGCGACTTTACATTTATGTAGTTAGAGAGACCTCTCAAATACATGAAACTTCCTTATGAACAATTTTTTTATTTGATAAATATTTTTAAAGTTATGGACTTGTAACACTTTACGTGGGCCACCCTGTATATTATAACATTAATATTAATATTGAAAATAACCAAAAGATTACACTCGCTCTATAGATACAAGCAATATACAAAGTATACAAAGAGGATAGGAGGAAGGAGAGGTGCAAAAAATTAAAAATATTAAACTAAAAAGTATATTTGTGTATAATAAATATAATTTTAAAAACATAGGTAACATAAAAGAGATTGAAAAAGCAGTCAAGATGCTATATATTATAAATTATGAAATATAATATACAATATGCACTGTACTGTATATTGTCTTTTTGATAATTTATAATGATGAGATCTAACAAAGTTCACTGTACAGCAAAATATATCTTTAAAACAAACTTTAAACAATATTTACATATATAAGTAAAAGAAATGCATAGAAAGTATATGACACTTCCTAACTATAGTGCATATATGAGATCAAGACCAAGTATGGTTAAAACAAATTATTTCAAATAAATGAATACAATATGAATATTTGATTATAGGAACAACATAGATTTATCATTACTGATGAGTTTGTAAATATAAAAGTTTAAAAGTAATTACTGTCATTCAGTCAAAGAGAAATAAATAAAAAAAATTATCTCTAAGCACATTTGCAACTACAAAATATGGTAGATAAATATGGTCTTAAAATATGGTCACTATAGCTTTAAATTACAGTAAAGACATTATTCTTTTTTTCCTGTTATATTGTACATATATTATACATTGTACATATATTATATATTGTACAATATTATACATTGTATGATTATATTGCATGCTTTGAATTTTTTCTATAGTTCACTCTTGTTAAATGTTTTAATAAACAGGAAAAAAGGAAAATTTATTAAATTACTACTAATAGATATATCCAGGAATTAAATTAACTCATGCATAATATCAATGTTATAACGAGAAGTAAACAGCCAAGCGAATACTTCCTATTCAACTAGCTTAAATAATTCAAATGTCGTTTCGTCATAATCTGCTCTACCTCTTTTTTGGCATCTTGCTACAATAGCAGCAATTGCGACGCATATTATAAGAAAAGAAATGGCCAGTGAACCAAGACCTAGAATCATTTTTGTCATATTACTTTTCTCAGTATCTGCATCTTTAGTGTCAGGATGTATTAAAATCTTAGGTCGACGGTGATTGGTAGACACTAAATTCTCAGAATGCGTAGAATCATTTACACCTATATAAAAAGTTACGTATATTTAGATACGGATATATTTTAACAAATTCTTACGTATAATTTGGTAAAGTAGAAATATTAGGTGCGCGATTAACATCATTATATACCTTGTAAAAATCTGTAAACTTTGTGATTATTTAGTTCAACTACATATATTTCGGCACCATCTTCCGTCACGTAGAGATCGTGTGGATTGATCATGTTTTCCTTAGGTGCAAATATTGAGAGTACTTTCCCAGAATGGATGTCAAGCACGAAACCTCGTACTGGTACAGGATGTAGCGTATACGGATCGGGTCCATTGACTAGGTATAATTTTTCTCGAGCGTAAGCAACACTATAGATTTTTGTACCGATAACGGGATGCCTATATTCTTTGTGGAATGTACCGTTGCTGGCAAAGAAACACGAGACTCGGCCGTTTTCTCTGTCAGCAACGTAAATATAATTCAATGCGCTCGCTAATGCTAAAGCATGTGGGACGACAAATGCGTTCGCCGGTGGTAATTGCGAGTAGACAGGTCCTGAAATGAATTCAGCTTTAATCCAGAATCTAGCTAGGTGACATCTCGTTGATGTCGATTTCGTTTTTATTATTACCCCCAGCACCCCAGTGTCGTCCCCAGTGTAAAATCCGTTGTCCCTTCTTATTAAACTTGATTATCCTAGAATTGCAATATCCGTCGCTGACGAAAAAGTCACCATTGGTATGTACAGCAACAGCAGTCGGCTTACAAAATCTGATCTCGTCGTTTCCAGGCTCAAAAGCCACTCCCAGAGTTATGGATGGTTTTAGTATGCTATTTTCGAATAATACATTGGCATAACGGTCAGACATGCTTGTTTCCGTGCTAAATTGTGCGCGTTTCAATTTATCCATATGCTTTTCTATGTTTTGAGCGTCAAACTTGAATACTTGATGCATTGCTACATCAGTAATCCAATAATTTCCAAACTGATCGATAGTTAGACCATGAGGAAGATAAAACATATTCTTGCCCCATTCTAATACTATCTTTCCGCTTTTGTCTAAAAGTATAATCGTGTTTTGTGCTATTGGCCCATTAATAGGATTAAACCTATTTGCATTATCGAAAGTATCAAATCCCCAAACTCGTTCCCCTCTGTGAAATATAACAATATTGCCGCTTGGATCCATGGAAATAGCTGACACTTGAGTAAGATTCAATTGTGCAGCCCATTGTCGATCCCATACTATATCTGACAACAGTATAAGAAACATAACAAGATATAAATTACATTTCTTTATGTAAATCAATGAATACCTACTTTTGTCCAAGATATTTGGAACTATCGATTCTTGTTTATCAGGATGATTAATAAGCTCACCATCTGTCAAATAGGTATCTTTTGAGTGTTGCGTTTGATCCAATTGTTCCAAGGCTTCTCTATCTACCTCTTCATTGTCAGGATATTCCAAATATTCATTTGAATTAAATTTTGTATCAGAAAAATGCTGCAATATAGAAATCAGATTTATTTTTTCCATATACCTCTATTTATATAATAAATTTATATAAAGTAAAATAAAGTTTTGTGTATAGGGATAGTTTCTGTTCTTATAAAAAATAAATAACTTATATATGATATCAAATAAGAAAGTATGTAATATCAACTTGTTGATATCATGAAAGAAATAGGTAATTATATAGAATACCTTCCTCACCTCTAATATTGACAAAAAAATACTTAATCGACGTGTTTTTGTAAGACAAACAACTTTTCTACATGAAAAAGTCGTCGTTCTGCCTTGTGGAGCAAGATATTAATTGTTAAAGTTGATGGCAACTTAGGTTAGGAAATCTGTCACGGAGGTGACAAATAAAAAAGAAATCTTTGCCTTACTAAAAAGATGAGTGTACAATGTACTAAGAATGGATATAATCAAAATATAATTATATATAATTAAATACAATTAGATACAATTAAAAAATCAATTAAAATGTTTTATATTTATGTATTTTATGTTTATATTTTTATATACTTATATTTTTATTGATGTTTGAGATATATTTTATATATTTATTTTTATTTCTATGTCATTTTTATATTATCTCATTTACATTTACTATTTCAGTTATGTCTGCCACTTCTCTTATTTTTTTTTTTATTTTTTGCCTTACTAAAAAGATGAGTCTACAATATATTAAAAATGTATGTGGTATCTTATTATGCAGAACTGATCTTGTTCCTCTTGTTACATAACAAAATAGCATATGCTATGATTCTTCCGCTTTCGATTCATGATCCATCCTTCCTTGCATAGGGGCCTTGCTAATCTTTTCTGTATCTATTTTTAATATATTGCAGACTCATCTTTTTAGTAAAGTGAAAATTTATTTTTTATTATCTGTCACCTCCGTGACAGATTTCCTAACCTAAATTGCTGTCAACTTTAACAATTAATATCTCGCTCCACAAAGCAGGCGACAATTTTTTTCAAACAGAAAAGTTGTTTGTCTTACAAAAACACGTCAATTAAGTATTTTTTCGTCGATATTGGAAATGAGGAAGGATTATTTTGTATAATTACCAAGAAATAATAAACATAAGAGCCTAGCTCTTAAAATTTTGAATTTTCTCTTTTATACACTAAAATATAAATATACCCATTTATGTAATTACCTGAGTTTTCGAAATATCCCGCGCGTCCACTTTGACGTGAATTAAAGTAGAAAGAACCAAAATGAAGCAAACAGTGCGATACCGAAGACTCGTCATAATTTAACGAAACCGTCATCAGGTGTTTGCGCGTGTCTTCGATATATTTCGCCACTATCGTAAATATCGGTGACACCCGCGGTATTGGACCGCACGAAAAATCCGCATAACCTTGTAAGATCACAAATATTTTGGCGAACTACGATCAGATGTTTCGGTGAATTACTTTGATGCCGCAAATTTTGGTATATTCGATCCATGGACATAGGAATAGGGGAACGAAGCGATAACCCGAGCTTTAGGTGAGGGGAGTGAAGCCGTTGCGCGGCGGGGAGACTATAGTCACGTGGTACATGTGGTGCCGCACAGATGATTGGCTATAAAATACTTGTAAAACAATGATTGGCTATAAACCATAAATGCGCGAAATGTACAAGAAATATCGTATTAACAAATGTATATGTGTGGTAGGATATTTGGAGTAAAATATTTTATTTATAAATTATTATATATTAAAATATTAATAGTGTTATATAAATATATATGTCATCAGATGTCATTACATTAAAGATGTCAAATAAATGGTAAGAGGTTATGTATAAATTTGAGAACTATAAAATGTTTTTAAATGTATCTAATTTTGCAGGTCTGTGTTCTGACCCTTAGGCTTATCCAGACAAACTTGCATAAGCGCGTAACGCATATGCATAAGGAAATTGACCAATTATGATCCATGTAGTAAAAAAATATTTTTTGTATTAAACATACGATTAGTATGTAATTTCCTTATGCATATGCGTTACGCGCTTATGCAAGTTTGTCTGGATAGGCCTTAAGGCCTAGTACACAATGCAAAGGCACAGGAAATAGGAACAGGGAATGGGAACATGAAATAGAAACCTGTATAATACTGAAACCATAGACGTATAATAAACAGACTGTGCGTTCAGTGGAGGGGGCATTCTATATTCGAAAGAGACAACATGCTTTCGTTGAGCAATCTATCGCTTTCTAACGATGCGTGGTGGTAAAATGTGGGTAAAGCAGTTTTCCGTGACAGGGGAAACAGAAGTAGGAGAATATAGAGAAAGGGGAATTGTGAAAGGCAAAGAGAAGAAAATACGTCTGATATTAATACACGCATATGGAAAAATGACGATTTTGTATGGAAATATGATGAATATGGACATATGACGATGAGTATAATTACATACCGGTGGAAAATAATCTGTTTGTAACTTTTATATGCATTACTGCGGCATACACAACAATATAGACTCATTGTGTTACGATTATACTTTTTGTGTTATGATTATACTATTATGAATAAATACGTTTTATAATCTTTAATGTCAATCGTCTTGTTTACATATGCTTTGTTTTACGAAAAGAAGGAGAACCGGAAACATGAAGCCCTAAACACAATGCCAGGCAACAGGCAATAAGAATAAAAATAGACCAATCACAGTAGATTATTCTTGTAATAATCGATTGTGATTGGTCTATTTTTATTCTTATTGCCTATTGCCTGGCATTGTGTTTAGAGCTTAACACTCCACTCTAAACAGGCGGAGGCCGCCAAATACCTTACCACGCATCGTTAGAAAGAGACAGACTGCTCTACGAAAGCATGCTACCTCTTTCTAATATTGAACATGTGCAGACAAAGGAAACGTTGCGAAAGCGCGGTCTATATATTATATGTCTATGACTGAAACACAATTGCTCCTATGTTAACCAATCATCTGCTGTTGTGCTTGTGCGCATGTGCTGAACGAAAATCTGCCTACAATAATATTGAAACCGAATTAAAATGTTTTATTATTTAATTTCGGTTTTTGTCAGACGAGATTTAAGTAAAGGGAATTACTTTCTGCAATCATTAAAGTCGCAAATATAACATAGATCAACATGAACAAAATATTTAATTATGCATTTTTTGTGTTATATACATCATAATATTTATTCACTTTTTTTATAGGACAAAGATAATTTTATGCTATTTCTGGTTCATGTGCAAATATTTGGATTATATGCCATTTGGAAAAGAAGAAAACGTAAGCGTTGGATCAATAGGAGATGGTGGGTGCGACCCATAAACACAAGACGAAAAGAATATGGTGATTTTACAACCCTTTTTGCGTAATTGAAGGAAGATTGTGATCTTTTCTTTCGATATACACGAATGGATGTCGAAACATTTTATGAATTACTGGAAATGGTGCGACCTTATCTACAGAAAAACAGTTTACAAGAACCAATTTGTCCGGAACAACGGCTTGTGATTACATTTAGGTAAGATAGATGTGTTATTCTAATAATATATTATAATAATAATAAAGTATAATATTCATTATTATTTAAACAATTTTATCATAGATATCTGGCTAGTGGCGACCAAGTATTGTAATTAGCTCTCGCTTATAGAGTAGGAGTGTCTACTGCTCATAAAATAATAAAAGAAACCTGTGAAGTTATTGCCTTTTATATAAAATAGGATTATTATATTGTTAAAATATACTTTGGCAGTATGTATTTTAGCAGTATGTATGTTTTGAATCTAAAATAATCACCAACGTATTTTCAGATAGATTGTTATTGCACAAGGTAATTGGAGTCCAATCAGATGGCGATTCTTTATGACAATCCATGAACTAGAAATCAATAAATGTAAATGAGGTTAATAAATCTTTCATATAAAATTGCATATAAGATTGTTATCTACAAACATATAACTGGTTTTGAAATTAAGTATTAATTTACTACAGTTACACACTATAATATTCTGCTGAATACATTTGAATTTGAATTTGCAATAATTACATTATACATATATGAAATAATTACATTATAAATTATGAAATAGGCAATGTGCAAATCCTGTTATGATAATATCTTGTACTAATACTGTTACTACAAGACAAATGGTTAAATGTATTATAACAGTATACGTTATTTATTTAAAAATAATAATCTTTCGTACCTTAACGTTGTCATTTTGGTAATTATAGTATTGCACATTTCGAGGCTGATTTGCTAAGATATTAAATGTTGGATCAACATTACTCATACTTCTGAAATCATGATAATTACAGTATAGATATAGATAAAATGAAATATTGAAAAATATGATGAGATTATTTTGCCAAATGGTCATTTTGTCAAATAGTCAAAGTGTACATTACACAAAAATACAAAATCAGTTGCAGACAAGAAATTAGAAGAAACTGGTAAATTCATTGGCATCATCAAAAATTAGTACAGTAATGCAGTAAAAAAAAATAAGTCTATTATAACGTGTGTAATATAACAGATACTCTGTATTGACTGAGCCTATAATTAATCTTGTAATGAAAAAATGAAACAAACTTTCTCTGAAAGACGAATTGCCCCAAAAATTTAAGTGGTCGAATAGAGGCCATTTTTGTCTGGTAGGTTTCCTGCTTCATTTCTAGTTTCTAGTTCTTGCTGCTGCCTTTCTTTACTAAATCATTGGCGGAGACGAACCCAACATGTTTGGCAATCCAATGCTACACGAAACATATACAAAAATAGAATTAGATTTAGGTAAAAGGAAATTTTAATAGGGAAAATGTATTAAATATATATCATATAATTTTCTGTCACTACCAATAAATATATAAAAATATTTTTACCACAGTAAATATCGTGTATTACTGTCCATGCATTTTCTTTCGTGTTTGGATTATGATATTCTTTCAAATTTTTGTCATAAAGAAATGGTCGAGATCTTACTAGATCTATCAGTAGTTCATTGCCTATTTTTTCATTCTGCGTATAATATTCTATATTTATGAAATCATCCTCGTTTTCTTTTTCCATATCGTCTGTCTCCTGCGAGCTGTCGACTGTTCTTTTTCGGGAATATTCGTGATTATACACTTCTCTCATAATGTTTGCACAGATCAAATTATTTACGAATAAAGATAACCTCCAATGTCCATGAAAATACGTAGCCTCTCCATACACGAACTGTCTCTCTGTGATTGGTCAGGAATAGGGAATAAGGAACAAAAATCCAACGCGTCGGAAATTCTGTTCCTGTTACCTGTGTCTATGTCTATTATGCATCGATGCACGGTTGCTCGTAAGGCGAAATCTGAGTATTTCTATTGCCTGTGTTATTCCCTATTCCTATTCTCTATGCTTTTGCATTATGTACCAGGCCTTACAGCTAATGTAGACGAGCCTTTAGGGCAAAAGCACAGGCTTTTGTATAACACATAATACATAACATATAAGAGAATAAACCAATTAGTTTTCTTCATTTCCCTCCTCAGGACAGAAATGAAGAACTCTGATTGATTGAAGCCCTAAACACAATGCCAGGCAACAGGCAATAAGAATAAAAATAGACCAATCACAATAGATTATTCTTGTAATAATCGATTGTGATTGGTCTATTTTTATTTTTATTGCCTGTTGCCTGGCATTGTGTTTAGGGCTTAATTCTCTTATGTGTTGTGTACACTCGTGAACTAAAAGGTAAGTGCACCGATTTTTTGTTGACTTCGGAACGCGCTCCAACTTGAGGAGAAAGACAACCACTGCTTCATACGTCAACGCTGTCATTTATTACGAGAGCAGAAGGATGGCATAAACGAGTGTCAAATAAGTAGTGATTGTGGCGTAGACACAAATGTCTTGGAGACTTTGAGTTATAATTGAAAAAATGAAGAAACCAAATAGTGATTGTGAATAAAAGTGGCAAAAGGCTTCATAAAATTTGTAAAACAGCATATTAAAGGAGAGTATTAATTGTCTAACAATATTTTAAGTGAACAATATTTTTAAATTTGAGTGTAAGTTAAAAAAGTTATAAACCATAATTTCTTTAATGTTAATAATTTTATAGCTATAAATTTGCCATCGACGTTAAATGAATATGTATGTAATGCTATCATTTACATAGGTGGAAAATTATGTTATTGCGCTCATAAAAAATAAGCAGCAGACTAAGTCGAGTGATATTTTTTTAACAAGATACTCATATCACTCAACTTGGTCTGCTGCTTACTTCTACTGAACACAATAATATAATTCCTCATCTATGGAAATAATAGCATTATATATATATTCATTCAACGTCGATGACAAATTTATTAACATTAAAGAAATTATGGTTTATAACTTTTTTAACTTACACTCAAATTTAAAAATATTTTTCACTTAAAATATTGTTAGACAATTAATACTCTCCTTTAATATGCTGTTTTACAAATTTTATGAAGCCTTTTGCCACTTTTATTCACAATCACTATTTGTTTTCTCCATTTCTTCAATTATAACTCAAAGTCTCCAAGACATTTGTGTCTACGCCACAATCACTACTTATTCGACACCCGTATATGCCATTCTTTTGCTCTTGTAATAAGTAACAGCGCTGACATATGAAGCAGTGGTTGTCTTTCTCCAAGTTGGAGCGCGTTCCGAAGTCAACAAAAAATCGGTGCACATACCTTTTAGTTCACGAGTGTAGACATATAATATATAGACCGCGCATTCGCAACGTTTCCTTTGTTTGCCCATGTTCAATATTAGAAAGAGGTAGCATGTTTTCGTAGAGCAGTCTGTCTCTTTCTAACGATGCGTGATATTTGGCCCCTCCGCCTAAAGAGCCTAAAATCAAAGAGCCGCAAACTGTCTGCTAGGCAGGGGAATCTTTTTCCTCGCAAACATGGCGTCCCTTCGCGCGAAGTTCGAAACTAATATCTGAATCTCGTAAATGTATTAGTGTGATTATTCAAATAAAATTGAAATAAATTTACATAATCGTTTGAGAACGAACATAAGTTTTATTGAAAATAGTTATAATAATTATATATTATAACAATTATATTATATATTATAATAATTGTATTGAACATAATTATCTTTTAATAATTACATTATATTATTATTGCTATTACTAAAATATAGGTTCCCAGACAGCACATAATATTTACAAAATATTTTAGAAATATAGATCAAATATTTTATAGTTATTGTAATGTTCAACATTCTCTGCTATGAAAACAATTATAATAAATATGTAAAAATATGTCTGCAAAATATGTTTTATAAATCGATTTATAAGTCATAAGTTGTTTCATAAAAATATTTATGAAAAATGGTTTTCTTAAATATTTTTAGATATTTATTATAATCTTTTTCATATCTGAGAATCTCGAACATTACAATATTTATATAATATTTCACATCTATATCTCTAAAATATTTTGCTAACACTGTGTTCTATCTGGGTTATTGCATTCAATAGAAATTTCTTGTGACAAGAATTAGACTAACATACTAAAAATAAAAACAGAATTACTTTACTCAATATCGTTGGAAGTCTCTGCTGACTAATAATAGTTTTAGACTAATAATAAAGTTTTATTTCATGCTTTTGCCTAACAAACGCGAGCCCATGCTGAAACTACCAAATTCTGAACCGGATTCTTTTCGTTCTTCATGACCAGTGAAAATTTTTAGTCGCATTTGAATGAATCTCTTCAGAATAGCTGTTGCAAGATTGTGACACTTTGGTATAGCGGAAACATACAAATTTGGAAACTCCTTCATTATATTTGTCAAAAATATGTCTGCATTTTTACGGACAAATGTGATGACGTGCTCAACATCTCTAAAACATTCTTCTGCTTTCACGATCAGAGTGAAAATTTCATCGGAAACTTCTACTTGAGAACAATTTGCATAGTTTGTTTGGCGAGTAAATTCACTTTCTGGATGAGCCTGAGGACCCTTATGAAGTACAGCTGAAGAACATGTAGAATAAATTAAGTCTAACTTTGTAACTGTAAAAACTTGATGAACCACATAGCCTGCTACTCTGTACAGCACTTTATTTTCTTTTTATGGTACTGTGAAAGGTAGAATTATGAAGTCTCTTGGCCAATCTCCATTGTTATTCAAAGCAGTATCCAAAGCAGCAAATTTCAACTCATCAAAGATATTAATAAGTATTTCTCCCTCTGTCTCAAAGTCATAACTACTTCCAGGTACTTCTCTCAAAAGCATTGAAATAGTAGTTTGTCTTAGCCGTTGCGTTACTTGAAGTGGTGTAGGTGTTGGTCTGCGATACCTTATGACAGAGAAAAGATTTTCAATGATATCTTGAGTAAGTCGACCAGTAAACAGAAAGTCATAACCAAGTTCATTCAGGCACAATTCAGCAAGATCTAAAATAGTCTTAGTCGAAATTTTAATTGCAGTCTGTACAGGTTTCCAACCTCCTGATATATACATATGTTAGAACACATCCATTGTCAGTTTAAGAATAGTAATAGCTTGTTCATAAGCCTCTGTATTTTTTTTACTTAAAGCAGATAAGAGGGATCTGCAAGTGACATAACGGAACCATTCATGCATTAATAGCACCATCCAAGCTGTTGTAACCATTTCAGGGTCACCTCCTTCCATAAAAGCGATATTAAACAAGCTAGCAGCAGTACGATGATTAATGACTCGTCTCGCGACATTTAACTTCATCTTGTCAAAATGATTGCATTGCACATCACTCCTCTTTAATTTTGGAGTCATTCGCCACATATCTCCACTTTGATAATCAATTAGGGCAAAAATATGAGCCACTTTTACTGCTGAAGAAGGCAGACCTTGGTCTTCAACAATTCGATCAGGAAGATGTATAACTTTATTGTTTGTCAGCATTTCTTTGAAATTTTTAAAAGCGTGCACAACATCAGCCATAACAAACATTTTCTGACCTTCAACACATGGATGGCAGAAGCTGTTATTCAGTATCTGCGGACCCACTTCTATTCCCAGGGCTTTCCATACATTACGATTACCCATGTCGCAAGTCAGAACACGAACTGTTATTCCCACTTTGTACGACTCACGTACAATTTCTAGACAGCGATCTTTGACTGCTTCAGAAAAAAAGAATTTCCAGTGAAATCATAGGCTACTGGTTGTTTCCACCGGACAGCTAGTCCTCCTAAGATCCACACCATGATTTTACTTGCCTTTTCCTTTAGCATTGATAGGGATACCTCAGTCCGCCATTTCTCTCTTGTATCAGGATCAGGATATTGAAGCTTTAACTGTGAAGTTACTTTTGGTTTTGCTCCTGATATAGTACATCAACCTATGTATGACTTGGTTCCTGGATTGTAATCAATTTTCTTCTGAATTGCCATCTCGTCAAAAACAAGAACGCAGTCTTTGTTTATAGTTTTCATTGAGCTTATTTTTTTATGAAGAAGCTTAAAAATGTCATGCAACAAACCAGGCGAGAACTGTACATGTTGAAGTTTAGATTGAAGAAGACAAACAGACGGCAAAGGCATTTGTAGCTGTGACTGTAATTGATATCCAGTCGTGCCAGATGCAAAATGCAACTGTAAAGCGATTTGTAATGTCTTATTTGTCCATTTACTGCCGCGACTCGAACTCAAACATAGAGCATTAAGCTGATCCTCCCCAAAACGAGAAGACAATTTGTTCTTAAAAGATGATAACTTTTTCTGCCAATATGTAGCTAATTTATGTAAACTGTCAACTTTTCTTTTCAGGACACGGTTTTGCTGTAAAATACTATCAAGTTTCAAAGATGGATTCAATGTAGGTTGAATATCAATAGATAGAATTTTGGATTGTTTCAGCATAGGTTTCCGACAATTTTGAATAAAATAATTTTTACATTCTACGGTACTGGTATTATATGTCATACAACTGTTTACAATACTAGGATTAGGACTGGGACTTCCTTCTATTATAGAATTATCAGGTATTGTAGAATTATCAGGTATTGTATTATCAAATATTATATAATTATCAGGTCCAGTCATGTTTCTCAATATTATATTGTTATTAATAGATTCACACTCCGAATTTCTGCTATATCTTGTGGTACTTATCACAATGCTACTCTTTGAATTAACATTACTTTTAGATTTCCCACATTGTTCAACATTTTCATATATGGAGTTTGTCAATGTATGAATGTTATTACTTTGACTAAAGTCCCGTAGTTCCGCTATTGCACTTAGACCAGTATTATTATTTGTACTTTGATTATTATTATTAATACTTTGGTTAAAATCAGTTGTTGTTTGGATTTCACTCATCTTACTTGCTATCAATGGTACCTTACATTCTCTAAGAATCACATTCATATTTGCACTACAATGTGTTACTCCTATCTTATGACTCGACTGATTATCACAGTGCATAATGCTAGAAGGTACTTGACATTCGTCAAGGTCTCTATTCATATTCGTATCACAAGATGTTACTTCTATATTATGACTCGACTGATTATCGTATTGCACAATGCTGGAAGGTATTTTACATTCAGTAAGGTCCACATTCATATTCGTATCACAATGTGTTACATTATGACTCGACTGATTATTACAATGCATATAGCTAGAAGATACATTTCTTTGAGAAGTGGACTCTATCGCAGTTGGTCGAGGAACCAAAGATGAAACGATCTGTCTTCTTAAGGCTATGGGACATTGTGTCTCATGTATACATTCTTTTTTTGGACGTCCGCTTTTGATGCAAAGTTTTTCATTCTCTTTATTACTTGTCTTTTTGTTCCTATTCTGTAGATGTTTTGGTAGTCCTGGATGATCTTCTAAAGGATTAAAAGTTTTATTATTGACCTGCAAAGGTTTGACATTCCTACAAGTATTTGAGCAGTTGCAAAAATTGTAGGAATAAGGCTTCGAGTATTTGTTTGTAAATCTTCTCTGCTGAAATGTTCCTGCAATATAAGATAAGAACCATAAAACAAAATCTTATGACATAACATCTAAATATATATACTTTCTAAAGGAAACAACTATTTTATAATTTTATAATTGCATTCATACCTCACAAAGACAAAATTCATTTCCCATAGTACTTCTGTTTAATTTTTCTAACTATTGTTGCCGCAGATGAGGAATACAAGGGCACCTCCTGAACTTTATCCCAGTACTATATTTATTTGAACAATTATTTGCACTACATACTCGTACCATGATGCAAATCAATATTTAAACACCGCAACATAACTACAAATACTGCAAAAATAATAAAGTAATTACATAATTTGAAATTATTCTTATAAATGTTTCATGCAACAGTAAATAGCCATCAAATCTCTTTAAGGCAATACAATAAAACAAGTTTGTAAAAGGTTATGTTCAAATTCCAGCAAGTTTTCTAGACAATGTATTTACATTAGAAACATGTTTCAAAAGATTTAATATAAAATCCATTTACTTTGTATTCTATGATAGACACACTCTTATTTTTCTGCCTTCACATTCTAATGTAAAATAACCTCGCAACCTTCTTATCTAGCAGACAGCTAGCGAACTGTACGATTTTTCCTCGCAAACATGACGTATTCTGACGTCATATAGTACAGCCAATTAAAAACGTGGAGGCAGTTTGCGATTCTTTGATTTTAGGCTTTTTACCTCCGCCTGTTTAGAGTGGAATATTTGGTCTGTTCTTTTTAGCTGCACTACTGAACTGGTGCAATAAGTTAAAGTGAGAAAAAATATAGTTGTCTCATTCTAATTTATTGCACTAGTTCCGCAGTTCAGCTGAAAAGAACAGACCAATTATGTCTCCGGTTCTCTTTCTTTTCGTGAAACAAAGCGTATGTAAACAAGACGATTGACATTAAAGATTATAAAATGTATTTACTCATAATAGTATAATCATAACACAAAAAGTATAATCGTAACACAATGAGTCTATATTGTTGTGTATACTGCAGTAATGCATATAAAAGTGACAAACAGATTATTTTCTACCGGTATGTAATTATACCCATCGTCATATGTCCATATTCATCATATTTCCATACAAAAAATCGTCATTTTTCCATATGCGTGTATTTATATCAGACGTATTTTCTTCTCTTTGCCTTTCACAATTCCCCTTTCTCTATATTCTCCTACTTCTGTTTCCCCTGTCACGGAAGACTGCTTTACCCACATTTTACCACCACGCATCGTTAGAAAGCGATAGATTGCTCAACGAAAGCATGTTGTCTCTTTCGAATATAGAACGCCTCCTTCGCTGAACGCGCGGTCTATTTATTATACGTCTATGGTTGTATATTATGCGTTATGCAGAAGTCTGTGCTCTGGCCCTTACGTTTACGAATTTTTACTTGCGTTGCTCCATATGATGGTACGTGTTGGAGACTTGCGACTTTACGGTTACGTTTAAGAAATTTTTACGTGCCTTTAACATATTGAATTAATTTAAGGATATTGAGAAAGAAAGTATGAAACCAAAGAATCAAACTATACAATCATCAGTAGTAAGTTTTAGAAAACTTCTGAAAAAAGTTTACTGATTTGTTTATGTATATCTGTGTGTGTCTGTGCGTGTGTGTGTGTGTATATGTAGTAAATTTTAAGTGAATTTTTTTATCATTTTAGAAAGGCTGTGGACTCTTTTCCATCTGAGTACCACTAAAAGCAGAAACAACAAAGCATAATAATACTCTAATACCTCAAGTTGTTAAAAATACACTAATGAAACCAAGTATTCATCAAACAAAAATATAAAAACAATCTAGTACAAGTCAGATTAATAATTCTAAAGCAGAAAAGATAGTCATAAATAAAATATGTACTGAAACGAATTCTGATGATGAAGATTAAGCAGTTGACTTTTTGGTCTAACTTCAAGTAAGGACGTACCAGATGATTCTATGATGGTATCTTCAGATTCCGAGTTATATTCAGGTGATTTGACTGGTAAATTGAATGATGAAAAAACTAAACTCACAAAGCATGTACAAAATTATACATCATGCAACTCTCCCTATACTGGTTCCATTATTTCAACGAATAGCCAACTAAACAGTTCAAATAAAACATTAATAAGTAATGTTATGAATTTGTCTAAAGAAGAAATTTTATTGAAAAATAAAGCAGAGGTTGGCCCGCCAAATTGGAAGCCGACTAAGAACAGCAAAATATGTAGTTTGCATTTAAGCAGAAATGATATAGCAGGTATGGGATATACTCGTGTAATTTTACGTCCAGATGCGGTGCCAAGAGGTCAGTCTTCAAATAATGAAGAAAATGAGCAGTGTAATACATTGTTAAATGTAAAAGAAGTTTTCAATATTGAAAATAGTAAAACCAGTATCTTGACTGACAGTATTGATCATAATTATATTGATAACGAAGCTGCTATAAAGAACACATTTAATGGAATTATCATATACACCTATCAAAAAAGGAGTTATACACCTGAATACAAAACAGATAGCTGTTGAAATGAAACCAGGAGAATATTCCATTATATCCGATACACAAAGTATTAGAAACAACTCAACAAATACAGACTCAGAGGAAGAAACATCTATTGAGGAGACGGTTCAATCTAAAAATTTAAAGAAATTACAAAATGAAAATAGAACATTGAAATGGAAGTTGCAGAGACGTGATAAAAATATTAGTTCAATGGAAACAATGCTTAATGAATTACAACAAAAGTAAATCATGGATAATGACAGTTCGCAATTACTAAAAGAACACTTTGGTGGTGTTATGTTCGAAATTATGCAAAATGAAGTAAAAAACCAGAAGCGCAAAAGTAAAGGTGAACGTTATACAGACGAGGTGAAAGAGTTTGCTTTATCCTTTTTATTTTTTTTATTTTTCATCACCAAAAGGTTATGCATTTTGTAGGTAATAGGTTTTCTTTTTCCTTTCTTTTTTAATGTCCTTATTGTCCGTTACAGATACATTAAAACAACACAGATACTTTCTACAAACGTCTTAATGATGTTCCAAGATTCTAAGTATGTTTTTTGAGATGTTCTTAGAACATTGTATGCTGCATGAACATAAGTTCTATTTTATTAAATAACCTGTTTTTCATAAAAAAATAACTAATTATTAACATTTTCTATTTTTAACTCGTTTCTTCTTCAATATTCTGTTCTGTTCTTCAATACAAATAGTTCATATTATTATAAAATATTTTTAAACTCTTTTTATAAAATTTTGCATGGTGTGCAATTTAACTAGATGTTAAATTTAAAAATTTTTAAAGTTAAATATTTAATTAACTTGTAACTGGTGAATGGTAATAAAACTTGATTTTATATTTATTGCATTGTTGATATTACATGTATTTATGAAAAAATAATTTGTTACTGTTATTCATAGAAAAAAACTGTAGTGAAGCAAATTGTTGATGTGAAGTTGAAAAAATGCTGCAATTTTAATATAAAATGGGATCATATTTTTATTGCTTAATAATTGCATCTTGTATATGTTACAATGAAATAATGTTAATGTTCGTTATTAGTGTAAACTCTATATATATATTTTTTTAGTAAAATATTACATATTTTCCAGGAAAATGTTCAGATTACCTGCTCCATCAACTTTGAGAAAACTACTATTGTCAGTTGATGCAGAGCCTGGCTTCCATGAAAACATATTATCCGAGATAGGAAAACTGTCGACAGATGATCGATATTGTAATCTCGTGTTAGATGCCATGGCACTTAGAAAACAAATGATATGGGATGATTATAAGCATCAAATGGTAGGCATACCTGATTATGGAAATATGGGACTGTTGGGAAAAATGGATTCCAAAGACAGGATCGCAACCGAGGCATTGATGTTTATGCTTGTTAGTCTTAATGGAAAGTGGAAGTGGCCTATTGCCTAATTTTTTAAAAGCAATATGACATCAATAATGCAGACTGAGCTAATAAAATCTGCATTAATATTGACTGATAAGTATAATATATGTTCATGTTACGTATATATATATTTTATATATGCAATGTTGAAATACATGTTATGAAATAATGTTTAAAAATAAAAAACAAGTACAGAACAGTTTTCTCGTCTTTTTGTGTGCTGACGAACTGATTTTATGCGTCTTGCGCCATACCTTTGTTCCTACTCTATATTTCTGCGCTATTCCGTATTTATCCGCCTGTATTTTACGCTTTTTCGCGGCTTGCTGTAAATGTTCGCGCGATTCTAATACTCTCTTGTTCCTTTTTTCAGGTGCGTAACTAAACTCTTGTGCCCCTTCCATCGGTACTAATTCCGGCGGTAGCTTTATTAACGCGACTCCTCCTGCTCTAAGCCTAAATATAAAAGGTTCTACTTCATTACATATATGATCTTTTTTATTTAATCTCATCTGAATTTATATCAATTTTTCCTTTTTTGGCATATATAAATATGTGAAAATAGTTAATAAATTAAGTAAACTTTACACACACACGTATATATTTATATATATATACATATATATATATATATATATATATACACAGGGTGTCCCATTTTACCTGACAAATTGTAATATCTGGGAAGCTACATATCGGATCAAAAAAAGTGGGTAATGAAATTTGTTCGCCTCGAAGGGGGACATCCAACGATATCAAACTCGACCTCCCACCCTACTCCCGGGGGGTGGGGGTGGGGGACAACTTTGAAATCTTAAATGGGAACCCCCATTTTTTATTGCAGATTCGGATTCTACGTCACAAAACATGTAAGTTTCGTCCGAAACTTTTTTTTTATTCGTGATAGATGGCGCTGTAATCGCAAAAAATTAGATTTTCTACAATTCTCCAGAAATGATCATTGAATTGAAAAATAAAAAAATACCTGTTCAATATTTTTAAAAATATTTTTAAAAAACATAACAGTTATTCCTCCCCATCCCCTCGGGGTAGGGTGGATGGTAACGTTCAAATCTCAAATGAGAACCCACATTTTTCATTGCAGAATTAGATTTTACGTGAAGTTTTCATGGAAACAATTTTTTTCATTCGCAATAGATAGCGTTGAATTTTTCCGAGAAACTACTTTTAGCATTACCCAGGAACAACGACGAGGACGTAGTAGTTTTCTGTTCCCTTCGAGATGCTTGTTTTAGGTGAGTCCCCTCGCCTCTCACCATCGGGGTGATTTTGCATAATGAACGAATGAAAAAAATTGTTACCATAAAAACTTCACGTAAAATCTAATTCTGCAATGAAAAATGTGGGTTCTCATTTGAGATTTGAACGTTACCATCCACCCTATCCCGAGGGGATGGGGAGGAATAACTGTTATGTTTTTTAAAAATATTTTTAAAAATATTGAACAGGTATTTTTTTATTTTTCAATTCAATGATCATTTCTGGAGAATTGTAGAAAATCTAATTTTTTGCGATTACAGCGCCATCTATCACGAATAAAAAAAAAGTTTCGGACGAAACTTACATGTTTTGTGACGTAGAATCCGAATCTGCAATAAAAAATGGGGGTTCCCATTTAAGATTTCAAAGTTGCCCCCCACCCCCACCCCCCTGTACGGGAGTAGGGTGGGAGGTCGAGTTTGATATCATTGGATGTCCCCCTTCGAGACGAACAAAGTTCATTACCCACTTTTTTGATCCGACATGTAGTTTTCCAGATATTACGATTTGTCAGGTTAAATGGGACACCCTGTATATGTATATATATATATATATATATATACATTTCACAATGTTTCCTTATAATAAAGAAAATAATTACATATTTCTTTCCATATTTCTCTTTATTTTATTTGATTTTCCTACGTATATTAAATTTTAATTAAAATATCTGATATTGACTTCAGTAGTGACTGTTCGTGTGATTTCTGTTTGTGTGAGTACTGGTACCTTCATCATGGCGGAATACACCCCCTCCACTTGCGACACGTTTTGCCAGAAGTCAGCGGTCTAGTTAGTATATAAAAGTCTGTGGGGACACCATTAACCGTACCACGTCTGGTAATGTTTTCTCTCTCGATTGTGCGACGTGCGATAAGGATGCAACATCGGAACGTCTCCCACTACTTCTTCTTCACTTCTTTCGCGCTGTACAGTCGCGAGCATAAAAGTTTGTGACCGTTTTTTTGCAACTTTCGGAACGCATCTCGACTCGAGAAGAATGAGAGTCACTGCTCCGCCTGTAGAGCACGCCTGCGCAATGACTCACGACGAAAGGCGAGAAATGAAATATACGCGGTGGGACATATTATAATAATACAGACTCAGATGAAATGAATACTCCAGTATTAAATGGAAATGAGGGAACACAGAACAGACAAGAATCATCCGATGTAAGTCTTATACTCCGAAGGACATCCGAAAAAGGTAAAATACGAACTTAATTAAGAGAATTAAGCTGCATTACGATAGTTACGATTCTGTTATATATTTATATATGATTTATTGTTCCAGCAACAGCCATCTTCTATAGCAGAAGCAATGATGTTAGATACAGAAGCAACTGTTATAGCGAATTTTGAATTTTTGGGACATACAGACATGGACATGGAAGAGGAAGAAGGAGATGGAGACGATGAAATTTATGATGCAAATACAGATACCAAACCAAATAAAGTAACGCTTACTATCATCTTGCATTTTAATGATATTGTTCACGCTATTTGTTAACATAATTTCTTATTTTTCAGGCATCTATCTTCCTTCTAGCGGAAGATGTTGATACAGATGCAGAGGCAGAAGTATTAAATGAATTAAATTTCCTCACAGAAATTGAAGAATCGCCACCTGGTTCTATCCATCTGGAAATGAATTCTTCAAAGGGTAGTTAGTTAGTAAATCCCTTTTTATTCGTATACTTTAAGATAAAATATAAACCAATCACAATAATAGATGTTTTATAATATTGTCACATATAATCACATAATCTAATGATGCCTGTAGGTTTATTACATAGAGGATTACAACAAGATCCAAGACGCCCAAATAATAAAGAAGGCCGTGACTCCACGCTGGAATTCGGAGAATTACAATTATGTGTCAACAATGATGCAGAAATATCGTACGATGTAAGTTCCAAGAATTTTCCCCTGTATTTCAGTCGAGTCGTTTTTTCAGCTATGTAAGTTACAATTTGAATGAATACAGTTTGATCTCTTCGAACGTTCCGATAATCTCTGCAAGCATCACGGATGTGAGAAGATATCTACATTGGGCGACTGCTGCTTTTGCGTAAGCGGATGTTCCGAGCCGAGGTACGATCACACAAAATGCTGCATAGAAATGGGTCTAGGTGAGTGGAATAAAAAAATTACATCGTAAAAATAAAAAATAATAAAACTTACATCGTACGATATTTCTGCATCATTTTTAACACATAATTGTAATTCTCCGAATTCCAGCGTGGAGTCACGGCCTTCTTTATTATTTGGGCGTCTTGGATCTTGTTGTAATCCTCTATGTAATAAACCTACAGGCATCATTAGATTATGTGATTATATGTGACAATATTATAAAACATCTATTATTGTGGTTGGTTTATATTTTATCTTAAAGTATACGAATAAAAAGGGATTTACTGACTAACTACCCTTTGAAGAATTCATTTCCAGATGGATAGAACCAGGTGGCGATTCTTCAATTTCTGTGAGGAAATTTAATTCATTTAATACTTCTGCCTCTGCATCTGTATCAACATCTTCCGCTAGAAGGAAGATAGATGCCTGAAAAATAAGAAATTATGTTAACAAATAGCGTGAACAATATCATTAAAATGCAAGATGATAGTAAGCGTTACTTTATTTGGTTTGGTATCTGTATTTGCATCATAAATTTCATCGTCTCCATCTCCTTCTTCCTCTTCCATGTCCATGTCTGTATGTCCCAAAAATTCAAAATTCGCTATAACAGTTGCTTCTGTATCTAACATCATTGCTTCTGCTATAGAAGATGGCTGTTGCTGGAACAATAAATCATATATAAATATATAACAGAATCGTAACTATCGTAATGCAGCTTAATTCTCTTAATTAAGTTCGTATTTTACCTTTTTCGGATGTCCTTCGGAGTATAAGACTTACATCGGATGATTCTTGTCTGTTCTGTGTTCCCTCATTTCCATTTAATACTGGAGTATTCATTTCATCTGAGTCTGTATTATTATAATATGTCCCACCGCGTATATTTCATTTCTCGCCTTTCGTCGTGAGTCACTGCGCAGGCGTGCTCTACAGGCGGAGCAGTGACTCTCATTCTTCTCGAGTCGAAATGCGTTCCGAAAGTTGCAAAAAAACGGTCACAAACTTTTATGCTCGCGACCGTACAGTACGCCCATATGCGTATGCGTATATACCTGTCATCGCTTTCGACTGTTTTACAGGCGTATACGGCATCGCCGAGGGACACCATACCTGCCTCTGAGTGTACTTCCCGCTTAAGGCTAATATTACATGTGTCGTACGACAAGCTTTTCGGATACATTGATTGGCGTACGCGGAGCAATCCTAGAAATATTCTATTTGTTAACCAATCAACGTATTCGAAAAGATTATCGTACGACAAATGTAATAGCCTAAGAGCCAGAGCATAGACTTCTGCATAATGCATAATACACAACGCATAAGAGAATCTACCAATTAGAGTTCTTCATTTCTGTCCTGAGGAGGGAAATGGAGAAAACTAATTGGTTTATTCTCTTATGCGTTATGTATTATATGTTATGCAAAAGCCTGTGCTCTTGCCCTAAAGCGGAAAGCACACACGCGTAAAGAAATCAACCAATTAGAATCTTTATTTCTATTGCCATATTGGAAATTAAAGACTCTGATTGGTTCATTTTCTTATGTGTGTGTATTATGCCTTTATGCAAAAGTGCTCGCTTCACGCTTACCCCTCCCCTTAACGTAGCTGGCGAATGACATATGGGTATACCTTAAGCGAGAAGCACACATTTTTGCATAAAGGCATAATACATAACACATAAGAAAATGAACCAATCAGAATCTTTAATTTTCAGCAAGGCGATAGAAATAAAGATTCTAATTGGTTGATTTTTTTGCGCATTGTGCATTATGCCTTTATGCAAGAGTGTGTGCTTCCCGCTTTACTACTTAAAACCATATACCGAACGAACGAACGAGCTTCACGCATCAACCTTATTCTTGCAGCTATTGTAGATGAGCCTTTAAGCAGCTGCTTCTCTTCTTCTGCTAAACGCGACCATATATTAAAAGAAAGAGAAAGATAAAGATAGAGAGGAAGAGTGTGAGATAAAATTAATAAGAGAGAGTGAAAGATAAAAAAAGTTTAAGGTCTGTCAAACAGTTGTTTTGATATATGTGAACATATACATTAATATAAACAAATTTAAGCATTTTCTTGATTAAAAATGAGTCTTGTAGCATACGATAGTAGTGATGAAGGTTCTGAAAATGAAGAAAATGAGTCTATGGAAACTATTATTGCAAACAATAACAATGATGGAATGAAAAATATAACGGTACAAGCAAACTCGAGATTATCCTTACCTGCTCCAAAAGTAGTTTCAAGCACAAACGATGAAGAGGAGAAAGAAGAGAACACTTTAGAGGAGAACTTTAGAAACTTCCTCGATATGCTACCAAAGCCAAAAGATTCAAATTCAGCAGGAAACATTGAAGAAAATGATGATATTTTGTTAAAGAAAGAAGTAGAAAATAAAGTCATAAAATCAGCAAAAAAGCAGACAGTGAAAATAACAGTGCCTTCTTTATTGGAGGTAAGCTGCATAGAAACATAGTATCAATAGATTGAGCCTTTGTTACTTTTTTCTATTTGTCAAAAACTTTGGTGCCAGCAAATGTTAAGACTGAAAATTGAGAAATTAATTAGTATATTACTAATTACTACATTACTATCACAATTTACTTTCACAATCCTAATATTCACTAATGATAGGCCTTTAATTATGGCTATGTCTATTTTTACTATGTCTGTGATAAACACACATCTGTATATTTATTTCAAAATATAAATTTTATTTGTTATATTGTACTTAAATATTATCTTTAACATATTGGATTAGTTTAAGGATATTGAGGAAGAAAGTATGAAACCAAAGAACCAAACTATACAATCATCAGTAGTAAGTTTTAAAAAACTTCTGAAAAAAGTTTACTGATTTGTTTATGTATATCTGTGTGTCTGTGTGTGTGTGTGTATAGTATATTTTAAGTGAATGTTTTATCATTTTAGAAAGGCTGTGGACTCTTTTCCATCTTAGTACCACCAAAAGCAGAAGCAACAAGGAATAATAATACTCTAATTCCTCAAGTTATTAAAAATACACTAATGAAACCAAGTATTCATCAAGCAAAAATACAAAAACAATCTGATACAAGATATCAGATTAATAATTCTAAAGCAGAAAAGATAGTCATGAATAAAGTATGTACTGAAACAAATTCTGATGATGAAGATGAAGCAGTTGACTTTTTTGGTCTAACTTCAAGTAAGGACGTACCAGATGATTCTATGATGGTATCTTCAGATTCCGAGTTATATTCAAGTGATTTCACTGGTAAATTGAATGATGAAAAAACTAAACTCACAAAGCATGTACAAAATGATACATCATGCAACTCTCCCTATACTGGTTCCATTATTTCAACAAATAGCCAACTAAACAGTTCAAATAAAACATTAATAAGTAATGTTATGAATTTGTCTAAAGAAGAAATTTTATTGAAAAATAAAGCAGAGGTTGGCCCGAAGTTACCTATTCCTGAGCAGGAATATAACATTGATACACAAGGTAATATAGCATTTGATGAGAAGGCCATTGAATACCTCTGTGGAAGACGAGGTGTAAAACGTAAAGATAGAGAAATTGACGAAGCAAACATAATTGAGATAAATGGAGAGGATATAAAACCAGACGAAAGAGAGTGGCTGGTAAAGGCATTAACAGAAGAATCTGTACAAAGGCCAGTTTCTATGCAGAATTGTGGAATCAACTCTCAATCCAAGAAGAAGCATCAAATTACTTATTTGGCGCATCAGGCTAAAGCTATGGAACTGGAACTAAAAAATCAGTGGTCTCAAAATAGAATGGCACGAAAACAAACAAAATCAAAATATGGTTTTTAAAACCATGTGAATATATGTGTATGTATAAGTATCTCTTAAATATAGAATTTTATTTATAACTCAAATTATATAATATTACTTGTAACTCAAATTATTACTAATAATTGTCGATAATACTTGAGAAAATAGAACGTTTTATTGATATATTTAAGGTACAATTGAAGCCAATATTCAATCATTCATCCTTCCAAATATTTATCCTAACTGCTCAAATTCTTTTCTTTTGTTTTCCAGCATTAATTTAGCTCCTGTTAAATTAGGTGGTAAATCATGATATGGATCCAAAAATTGCTTAATGTTAGCCAGGTTACCCAACAATTCCAAATATAGTTTATATTTTTCTATTACTGATTTCTCTTATATTGATTTCTGGAAATTTCAAAATCATCAAATTAACAAAAATCAAGGCGCTATTGTAACAATATATTCTTGAGACTAAATAAAGCAAGAAAGTCTAGTACTACTTTTTCTTCTGACAAATAGTTAGCGAGATATCGTACGTTAAATATTGAAAAAATTATCAAGTTTTCCTCAAATATCTCAAAAAATATTAGACAAATAAAAAAAATGTTTTAGACAAAAGTTGTTCAAATTAACTAGTAGAAAAAAACAGTGCAATAAAAAATAAGGGTTCTCATTTAAAAAACGCAAGTTGACCTTCAAATGACCTTGAAAATAGAGGTCAAGGTCATCATAAGGTAGCTCACTTAAATCCTTACTTTTATTCAGATCATTTCCTTAAAACTTCCTTGTACATAAAACACCTTGTACATATATGTATATATTGTTACGTCCCGTATAGAATTTTTTGGATTTCTTGGGGGCGTAACTAGACAGAATGTAATATGCTGAGCGTATCACTTGAGGAAAAGAAAAAAAAGAAATTTATTATGATCGCGAGTAACTCACTCGCCCGCGCCGTAAGGGAGCCGCTGACGGTAAAGGTCATTCTACAATACGTGTCGTAAGTTGTAAGCCATAAGAACTGACCAATTATAGCCGATTATTTTTGTAATAATCGACTATGATTCGTCAATTTTTACTTACAACTTACGACACGTATTGTAGAATGACCTTAAGGTTAGGTTTTAACCTTGATGGAACATTAAATAAGCAGAAATATAAGATATTATTAGGAGTACAAATAAGTTTCCGCCGTTTGACAAAAGATGGCCCCACCAGAAAGTTATGTTGAAATTGTCAGATGTAAAACGTAATATCGTAAGTTTGGACATCTGGTAACAACATAACCTTAAAGTATTAGTGACTTCGTATCAGCATCACATAATTTTTTTCGTGCGAAAATGTCAAGTTTTGTGCCGAATAAGCGTCATTTGCGGGAACTTTTGATTTACTTCTTTAATTTGAAGAAATCTGCAGCTGAGGCGCATCGATTGCTTGTAGAAGCATATGATGAGACTGCTTTAAGTGAGAGAAGTTGTCGTGAGTGGTTTCAAAAGTTTAAAAACGGTGAGTTTGACGTGGAAGACAAAGAACGTAGTGGAAGGCCGAAAGTGTATGAAGACACGGAATTGGAAGTGTTATTGGAGGAAGATTCGTGCCAAACGCAAGAAGAACTTGCACTTACATTAGAAGTGACTCAACAAGCAATTTCACATCGTTTAAAATTGTTGGGAATGATTCAAAAACAAGGAAATTGGGTTCCATATGAACTGAAGCCGAGAGACGTTGAACGCCGATTTTGCACGTGTGAAATGCTGCTTGCCAGGCATAAAAGAAAGGGTTTTTTGCATCGTATAGTCACTGGTGATGAAAAATGGATCCACTACGATAACCCAAAGAAGAGAAAATCATGGGGATCACCTGGCCATGCTTCAACATCGACAGCCAAACCGAATATTCATGGAAAAAACTCATGCTGTGTATTTGGTGGGATCAGCTTGGTGTCGTGTATTATGAGTTGCTCAAACCGAGCGAAACCATTACTGGAGCTCTCTACCGAACACAGTTAATGAGATTGAGCAGAACACTCAAGGAAAAATGCGCCTGTTACTACTCTAGACACGACAAAATTATTCTCCTACATGATAACGCTCGGCCACATGTTGCAAAACCGGTCAAAACCTATTTGGAAACAGTTAATTGGGAAGTCCTACCCCACCCGCTGTATTCACCAGACATTGCCCCTTCCGATTATCACTTGTTCCGGTCGATGGCACATGGCCTGTCTAAGCAGCGCTTTACATCATATGAAGATACTAAAAATTGGGTCGATTCGTGGATAACCTCAAAAGATGAAGAGTTCTTCCGACGTGGTATCCGAATGCTGCCAGAAAGATGGGAAATAGTAGCGGCTAGTGATGGATAATACTTTGAATGAAATGTAATATTCCGTTCTTTCACAATAAATTCTTAATTTTTGATAGAAAACGGCGGAAACTTATTTATACTCCTAATATTATATTTGTTTTTATTAATTCTACTACATTAATAAATATTCTTCGCACATACAAACATAGTATTATTATATTTTTATTGAGTAGTGCACTGAACAACTATGACATTGTTCTGAGAGTTTTCTCATTTAGAGCGACGAAACAAATATATTTTATGAATTTTTTTTCGTGCAGATAGAAAATTTCACGGATGTAATTGTTTTTGGAGATTATTTAATACTGTATGAAAAATATTTATTAACTTACAGGATATTGTAATAAAAGCAAAGAGGGTTTCATTTCGTACTTCTTGATTCTGTTACAATATTCTTTTATATTTCATACTACATCCTTGTATAACTTAAAATTATTCTTAAAATATTATTAAGCAATTCAATAATCAAACCTATGAACCTGCCCGACTCCGCAAAATAATTAATAAAATATATTTCATTTTCTTGGCGCCGAATATTATTAATACTATTATAAATAATATTACAAATGATATAAATTTTTACAAATAAAATTTGTAAAAATTTGTATTTGTAACATTTTTATACAATTACAGATAAAATTACAAATAATAATATTACAAATAATATATATTACAAATAATAATATTAATAAAATATTATTTGTAATAATTTCGGTGCGCGAGTAGACAAAACTTTTCAGTATTGTCATAGAGAGGAAAGGAGAGAGAGACAGTCGCGCCCGCAATTCAGATTATGGGTAAGAAAGAATTAGGCTCGTTCGCTGAGCGAGAACGAGAGCGACAAGGAGGGAATGATATTCTCTCTCTCTCTCTCTCTCTCTCTCTCTCGCTCGCTCGGCGCGTCAACGATTGCCGATCGCGTGGCTCACATGGATTGACCGAGCTGGCTGTGTGCGTGCATGGGGAGGGGGGGGGAGGGAGAAACCTCGTGCAAGCCCGTCACCAAATTCGCATCACTGATACCAATGATGTCAAAACCGAACAAGCTGCGGACAAGCGTAACTTATAAATACCGGAGATCAACTGTTTATCAGTTCATAGACAATTAATATGACGAGATATCCGTGGAGACCCGTGTATTTCTCTTTCGTCTTTGCGTACAATTGCGATCAATAAAAAATTTTCACGAATTGTTCGGTTTTGACATCGGTTTGACATTGGTATACGTGTGTTACGTCCTGTAGATTTAATTAGTAAAAATTCTTTCCTCTCGCGGATTTATATTCTCCTAATATAACTATAATAGGAATATATACATATATAAATATAAATTAGGAAACAGACCCATCTGGCGAACAGCCGTCGCGCCAAATGAAAGGCGATTCGGGAAAATTCCATAACAGGAAACAGTGCCCTGTTGTAAAAATTTACGTCTTCGTTTAAAGTTTATATCTGGATAGTGTTCGCCAAGTGTGTCCGTCGTCCTAGCCATAAAAATTTGAAACTCCGCGCTAACAAACCTTCAGTAAAACAAAGCAACACAGAGCATTCCTGCTCTAAAACTTGAAACTTACATCTTCCCAATCCAAAACCATATGTGTCCTATCAGTCAACCAACAAAGCTTACTTCACTGATAGTCGTAAAATCTGATCTCAGCCTTTGATTTACGGCATTTTGATTTTTCCAGCCGGCCACTTGTATACATTTCTCTATCTCAAGAATCCACCACCTCCACGCTTGTCGCGCCTAATTCATTCAGCCAATCATATATCCACCTAAAACTATGAGACACCCACGCTCCACCCTTTAGCCCTTCCATATTCATATCTCCAAAAACTAACTGTCTCCTCCCACGATGTCTTTTAACTTTGCTAATGGCTGAGACTTTTTCCCACTAAGACCAATTCACCCCTTCCTCAAAGGCCATCTCTCTACCCACCCTGATAGCTTCTGCCTCCGATTATCACTATAAAAACCGCGGTAATCCGCCTCCGCGACACACTACTTCTACTTCTACCATTACTTCTATTCTGAGAGACAGGAAAAAGAGCAGATTCACATTCACTTAGATTCTATTGGGTGAGTGCAAAAGTTCGTGCGGAGTTTCAATAGATGGAGTTATAAGTGTCGTAAAGTGTTGTCATTAATACTTCCATCTACATATTATATAACGTTGGAAAGGTGACGTCTTCAGCTGTTATTAAAAAAAAAATCATTTGTTTTCATACAAACTGCTTCGAGAAATATCACTTTAAAAATGAGTATCGATAAGGTGCATTTACGGCATGTTATGCTTTACGAGTTTCGGAAGGGAATAAACGTTGCCGCAGCCGTAAAAAACATTCAGGATGTTTATCAGGATGAAGCACCAGCTAAACGAACTGTGGAAAAATGGTTTGCTAAATTTCGGCGCGGAGAATTTAACCTTAAAGACGAGCCACGCTCTGGTCGACCTTCTGACATTGATGACGATGTTTTGCGTACTTTAGTGCTCAATAATCCGCGAATTTCAACAGAAGAAGTTGCTACAGCACTAAACGTTGACCAATCAACCGCTTTTCGGCGTTTGAAAAAGATGGGATTCGATTTGAAGCTCGATATATGGGTGCCCCATTTGCTGACCGAGAAGAACAAAATCAAGCGAATTTCTGCAGCCGTTTCTTTACTCGGGCGGCTCAATAACGAGTCGTTTTTGGGTCGACTAGTGACGGGCGATGAGAAATGGGTCCTCTACAACAATGTTCAGCGCAAACGGACATGGAAACAATCAGGTGAGCATGGTGACGCAATGCCAAAGGCCAGTTTGCACCCGATGAAGGTGATGCTCGAAATAGAT